AAGGAGCTTGAGGAAATAGTTCGCGGTGATTGCTTTTGTGATGGCACAACATAAAATCTTCTCCAAGTATCGCAGGAAACCTTGGCCCTTTTATGTGAACAGAGGCTCATATCAATCTTCTCTTAATGAGACCCAGGAGATCTAGCCGTACCATCTCCTCCGGACTTCTGAGGCTCAAGTCCTGAAGGGTCAGGACAAAGCCGGTCACATCAGGCTGCCTACCCGGCCGTCGAGGGACGAGGATCCGGAAATGCACCTCAAAGCTCACATCCTGTGTCGAGGTCTCGGCGATGTTCCATCATGCAAGGGCCTTATTGAATTTGGACAGGAGCCACCGACGAAGCAACCTTCGTGTTTGTTGCGATAGTAGTTGGTCTTAGAAACCCTCCCGGTTCGCCCAATGGCGGCCCTTGCCGGTGAATCTGACAGCTTAGCTACTTTCTTCAGCTAACGAACAACTGATCTTGGCAAGGATCGTGACGCCACAGGGACTGACTTGTTGTTGGGGTAGCAAACACACATTTCGCCTCCGGAATTAGATGGATTTATCTAGGCTGGGAGGGAGATGTGTCGCACGTTGATAGCGCGCACTGGGGCGACGCCAAAGGCACACCGCAGAAGCTGAAATACGATGGGGCCGGAGATACCTACGTGAGTTCTTGGCTTGAGATAGTCTTATTGATTCGTCCCTTTGGCTCCATCATTTCCATGTTGGTTGCCGATGTTTGCTCATTGTCTCAAGCAAACTTCATTGTACAGTGCACCAACATGAACGTGCCGCTTAAGCGCAAACACGGTGCCCATACTATGGACCAATCACGAATGCTCCGCATGGTTTACTTACTCTCAGGGTCTCAGACTCTCGAATAACCATCCATTCGGAGTTTCGGGATTATGGAAATCTTCTGCATGGCTCACCATCGGGAGTGGCGACATTGGCACTAAAGGGTGGTCGGTTTCCTGTCAACCAAGATAGATGGTGTGCATCTTACGCCTGCATAGACCATTCTTCCATGAGCCGCATAGCCTTGCCAATATGCAACAAGCACCATAGCCATAGCACTCGTTGAGCTCAACCGGATGATCAAACCGCGTCAACACAAGGAAAACAGCTATTCCAAGAAAATCCCCAATGGCACGACTCAAGCAGACAATTTCACATGTTCGTTGTTGCTGGGTCCCGCCAAGCGTCTGGTGGATCTGTCAGGTGTTGGTGCTGGATGACGCATCATTTGTTGTGGCAGGGATCAAGATCCGACTATCTGGATCCATCATCCAAGCGCCCCGGACATGGATGAAATCCGGTTGGGATGGTCGAGTATCTGCGGGTCAAGACTCTTTTCTCGTATAGGGGAATGCCTCTCTGAAAGAGATGTAATTGGAGTTAAATAGGGGATTGAGGAACTTGGAATGAATCTTTCCCAGGTGGCGACCGGCGGCGGGGGACCTCTGTGGTTGACAGAGCTTCTCCTGAGCTTCTACGGAGTAGCTTGTGAAAGATAAACTATCAGAAATAAAGTTTGTGACCGTCGAAGGATAAGTAGAACGTGTGCCTCAAAGTTGCATTGAGCTCTAGTAGTTGAATGGAGTTGCTCACTGCGCCCGCTTGGCAATGTCGACGAAACTCTTCTCCGAAAAAAGGTAGCTTAGTTCATCACGAAAAGCCAGTGAAAACTAACATGTGCGATCTCACAATTGCCCCAATCGTCAACTGTCTTCCCATGCTTTTTGGCCATGAGCTGGTTGGTGTCATAAGGCACGCGTAATAGTGATGGATGGTAAGATGAGTTAAACCCCGCGTGTCCCGGAGGTCTAGAAGCGGTCACCCGGCACTAGAGAAAACCAACCGAGGGAAATCGGCTAGGGGTGCCCTCTCCCTCGGGAGTCGGAGTCGGCGCCGAGCATGTCCGATGATCGGGAGCAGACATGTTTGGCTTTTGGTGGGCTACCTGGTGAAATAAGGGGTTTCCAGAGAGCCTTTTTGTGGAGTTTCGACGCGAACCAAGAGCTAGAGTCTAACTAGATGTAGTAATTACCGAGGCACTGCCCTTCAAAGCATCATAGCTGCTCTCCGAGTCGGACCTCTCGAAACCTCGATTAGATTAGATCTGGACAGCGCACACCTCACGACTCAAGAACAGCATATCCTACAAAATCCCATCTGCAGCCTCCATTTCTCCAGACAAACTTCCCCAGTCCTTCACTTACCCCAGCTTATCATCCCCACACACAAAAGTCACGATGCCGAATACCCCGGATTGGGTCAAGGCCCTCCAGCCATCTGGCCCCCAGGGCACTGAGCTCCTCGCTCAGGAGCGCGCAAAGTCCAACCTCAACGTCGACCAGCTCGCGTCGTTCATGTTCACAAATGAGGCTCTCGAGCGCAGCGAGAGGATACTAAACATCCTAAAGAAGGAGCCTGTCTTTGACAAGACCCAGAACTACTTCCGCGGCCGAAATGCCCGTATCGAGGCTGCGCTGGCGAGAGGCAAGAGACTGTTCCAGTTGACCAAGGAGCACAACTGGTCTCAGCAAGACTACATCGTTGCCAACGACCTGATTGCTGAGCCGACACCGTATGGCCTCCACGCCAGTATGTTCCTCGTCACGCTGCGCGAGCAGGGCACTCCCGAGCAGCACGAGCTCTTCCTCAAGCCCGCCGAGAACTACGAGATCCTCGGATGTTACGCCCAGACCGAGCTTGGCCACGGCTCCAACGTTCGTGGCCTCGAGACCACGGCAACGTGGGACCCGTCTGATAAGAGCTTCGTTCTGCACTCGCCTCACTTAACGGCCTCGAAGTGGTGGATCGGTTCCTTGGGCAAGACGGCCACTCACGCCGTCGTCATGGCCCAGCTGATCCTCAACGGCAAGAAGATTGGCCCCCACCCCTTCGTCGTGCCGATCCGCGACAAGAAGACTCACGAGCCTCTCCCGAACGTCCACGTCGGCGATATCGGCCCCAAGTTCGGCTACAACACCATGGACAACGGCTTCTTGCTGTTGAATAACGTCAAGATCCCGCACAACCACATGCTCGCCCGATTCTCGTCCATCGACCCGAACACGAGCAAGTACATCCGTCCCGCGAACCCCTCTCTCATCTACGGAACCCTCACATGGGTGCGATCCAACATTGTCCTGCAGTCAGGCTCCGTCCTGGCCAAGGGTGTCACCATCGCCACCCGCTACTGCGCTGTCCGCCGACAGTTCCAGGACCGAGATGCGCCGGCGGGTGAGCCTGGTGAAAACCAAGTTCTCAACTACACCATGGTGCAGATTCGTCTGCTTCCCCTCCTGGCAGCCACCTTTGCCCTTCACTTTACCGGTCGCGGTATGATTAACCTTTACAACGAGAACCAGAAGCGCATGAAGGGCGACGTCGGCAAGCTCAGCGACGGAACCAGAAACCCCGGCCCCGAGGAGTTGAACCCCGGCACCGACCTCCTCGCCGATCTCCACGCCACCTCCTGCGCTCTCAAGGCCTACGGCTCAACCGTCGCCGGTGAGGGTCTCGAGATCTGCCGCCGCGCCTGCGGAGGCCACGGATACTCCTCCTTCAGCGGTATCGGTTCCTGGTACGCCGACTACCTGCCAACCCTGACCTGGGAGGGCGATAACTACATGCTCACCCAGCAAGTATCCCGCTACCTGTTGAAGTCCGCTCGCTCCGTCCTCAAGGGCAAGGCCGGCAACAACGACACCACTCGTATTCTCTCTGAGTTCCTCCGCCGCCGCGACATCGGCGCAGCCTTCGATGTCCTCGGCTCAGACGAGGACCTCGTCGCTGCCTTTGCCTGGCGCGTGTCCTTCCTCACCTTTGAGGCTCTCCGCCACAGAGACGAGGACAAGCAGTCCTGGAACAGCCTTCTCGTCGACTTCTGGCGCCTCAGCACCGCGCACGCTCAGTACATGGTCGTCAAGAACTTCCACCAGGCTCTCAACGACAAGGCTACCACCGAGCAGCTCGACAAGGACACCGTCGGTCTGCTGCACAAGCTCTTCAGACTGTATGCTCTGAACACCCTCGAGCAGGAGGCCAGCGAGTTCTACAGCTCTGCGGCTGTCACTGTCCGCCAGATCACGTTGGCGAGAACAAAGGCCGTCATGACCCTCCTGGAGGAGATCCGCCCTCACGCAGTCCGCCTGGTCGATGCCTGGAAGTTTGACGACTGGGTCCTGGACAGCAGTTTGGGCCGCTATGACGGCAAGGTGTACGAGGACATGTTCAAGCGCGCCAGCGAGGACAACCCGCTCAACAGCGTCGTGTTTGACCCCTACCCCAACAGCAAGGTGCTGTTCAAGAAGGATGAGAGAAAGGACCTGAGAAGCAAGTTGTAAATGATCTCACTAGACGGGAGACTATAGATACTATAAGGGATGGTTAAATGTTTTGATTGTAGAATTACCAGCGCAACGCAGATGAATAGAATCTGAAAGAATGGGAGACTTTACTTAGTACTATCTGCAACGGCCGTGGGCCTTCCTCTTCTGCCATGAGTAATCGTGACTCTGATTATCTGGAAATGTCAGGGCATTAGGTCTACGATACATGGTCTAAAGGTCGTGCGAGTGACTCGGAGACTCGCATGTTGTAGCAGCCATACACCATACAATAGCAAGCCGTCTAGTTCAGTTTCCTTCCCGCATAATTGGAGGCGAGGCCGGTAGCAGCGGCACCTCAGCCTGAGTTGACATGGGCCGATAGGGGCCAGGTCTCGGCAACGACCCCGTCAGCATTCCAGATCATCAGCTCAACTGACCACTCCGCCGCTGATTTTTCCTTCTCTAGTTGAATCGACTCAATGATGACGAAAAATCTACTTTTTCCCAATAGTAAGGACATTAACTTCGTTTGGTACCTAGACCCCCATACTTCTAAGATACCGAGACCTAGCAGTGCAAATCTCTACTCTACTCCTTAATGCGTCTGCTCTTATTCGCCCACGGAGAAACTCATAGAAGTCTTCCTGGTGACAGTGATTCGCTCTACTATACCACTATACTAGAATAACAGGCTCCCAGTTGGGTTCAACAGAGGCCCATCCATCCAAGGAAATAAAGCCAATCCCAAGACGCGAGTAGAGCCCGCTCGTGCGAGATGTAATGAGCACATAGAACCCAAATCCTTGGCTTCCCGCAAACACAGCATTATGCTCCCAGGTTTCAGGAAACTTGAGGCCAGCGGCGACAACTATCATGTAGTGGCTCGACCCCATGCTCAGACATTTTAGAGCCCACTGCCTATGCATAGGCGCAGTGGTTCCTATCTTTGTGCCATCATTGTTGTAGATCGTAAGTTGAATTCCGTCATCATCGCCGCGAAGATATGACCCTATCCGGACTCTGGCAACTGTGGTGTTGAAAACGAGACAGCGAGGGTGTTCTTCAGCCCTGGCTTTGGTCTTATCATCAAGCTCGATGTGGTGGCGGGCTGTCATAGGGTTCTGCGGAGACCTTTTCCACATGTCAACCACGGAGATCCACGGTGCCTCTTGTCGAGGATCCTTGTACTCAGTGACCTGGCAAAGTTCTCCCCTGGGTTGAAAGAAGGCTTCAAGATCTCGCTGGAAGTCTTCCTGCCGCATAGAACCATCGATTCGATCTTCTGGAAACCAAACCTTGCCTTCACAAATGTTTCTGAGCCTAGAGGGGCCAGTAGAGATCGGGTCACAGTAGAAAAAGGAGACGAGATGTCCAAAGTGAATCTGATACATCGGGTCCAACCAGTCGCCGTCAATTCGACCCCCGAGAGACCGTTGATAAACGACGGAGCCTTTTCGGGTAGCCCATGTCCAAGATGGAAGTCTCAGCCCTTCAGTCGTGCGATATGTAACTCCCAGAGGAGAGCAAAATGACCACAGGAGGCTATGCGCCAGGTATCTCTCCGGAAGTCCCAGCAGCATCTGCGTTCTGGCCCGAGCAGCGACAACATTCCCGACGCCAGCAAAGGCGCTCAGCACGTCTTCCCGACGGCCGAGTGTTCGTTTAGTATACTGGTCCACTAGAAGCGGGTAAAATCCGAGTACCCCGTCATCGCTGTACTCATCGGATCGGAGGCCCTTTTCGAAACCTCTTCCACCCCGGTCTTGACTTGTCCTTGTGACGCCGGCAGTCTCTGGTTCCTCCTGTGGTCGGTAGTGCCTGATGTCTGGGTATCTATGAAGCTCAGAGCCCTCGTGGAAGCAGCTGAAGTAGACGTGCCCGGAGCTGAAGAAGATGTGCCGCCGGGAGAGCAGCTTCTCCTGAAATGTCCATGCTCTCGAGTTCCACTCGCTGGAGCTGATGACCTGGTTCTCGCTGAGGGGGGCTATCCCGACAACGGCATGTTCCATGGCAGAGTTCTCGCCCGATGTCGTACCCTCGACTGCTTTAGGCACGTGCTTAATGAATTGCCAGCAATGGTTCTTGTGAGTGGAAATGTTGGGCCGCGTAGTGAGACCGGGTAGCCCAACACCAACACCATTCGCAGCTGCAACAATGGTGAATTCTGCGAGTTGGTAAATGTCGTTCATAGCGTTGATCTGTGCCATCTTGAGATCCTCATCGTCCTGCAGGATGCACAAGCGATCAACCCAGAGGTATCGCTGTCTCATGTTCCGGCACAAGTGGATAGCATCCCCAACTACTTCTGGCAGCAGATCCGCCACAAGAGAATCAGTCCGGTTCAACTTTTCTGCGTTTGACGTCGTCAAATGAAGGTCCCGATCCGCTGAAGCAGTTGCAAGCCGCCACGTATAACTCAATGCCACAAAGGCAACCTGGGTCTTTGGCTGGACAATCCGCCGACATTTGGTGTCTATTACGCGGAACCCGGCAGGGAGTTTTGATTCTGTCAAGGGCTCGTTGCATTTGGGACCGTGGTACTCTTGGCAGCTCGCCAGCCAGCTGCGAAGGAGGCTGACGTTGATGTATCGCCGATCCCAGGGTTCTGCCAACTCAAGTCGGGTTCCGTCTTTAGACCCATACTTAAGTCTAATCCCCAGAACCACAGGTCGATAAATATGATTTGATTTACTGTCCGCTAGCGATGTAAGCCCCGAAACGCAGATAGCCAAGGCGCAGCTCTCGGCAAAGGACGAAGTCTCATGTGCCCTGTTAGATATGAGGGTACGAGAGCTTGGGTCCGTCCTACGACTCGGAAAGAGCCCGCAGACTGCGAATTCAGTGTCGTCGCCGGCGCCATCTACGGTGCTTATCTCCGAGCTGATGAAGCTGCATATCATACAGTTTGGGCTATTGGCGGTGCTGCTCAACGATCGAAAGGTCAGAGACTGGAAGCCGTAGGAGGCAGATTCCGATTCATCAAAGTCGGGATCGAAAGCTGAGACGTCCACGTCTTGTGATGCGTAGCAGCAATAGACAACATGGAAAAAGTCATTCCATGGCTGGCAATCATTGCAAAGAAGGGGATTGGGGATGATGGGGTTCCTGCTATCTGAACATGAAATGCAATCCCTCAGGCGGCTACCGTCCCTGCCGTCTAAGTGTGTGGACATGTTTGTTGCATTCTCTGCTCATGGTTGGGTCTTCAAGTTGTCAGATACTGTCTCACATTGAAGTCAGCGAATGGAAAATAAAGCCAGGCAGCCGTCAGAGAGTTTATCATACACCAGAGGCTGCGGGGTCGCGGGACTTTGGACATCATTGGCCAATGATGAGTGGGTAGACGGGTGAGCGAATGGCGTATCGTGAAGCTCTCCAGACCCATGTAATATGGACTGACAGCATGTAAGTCCCCTCTCACAATGGGACTTTTGCAACCTTCTAAGCTTCAGCTAGACTTATATTATATTTGAGGACAGGGTCGAGACTCTAGAAGTCTACAACACTCGACACGGTCCGTAAATTTGATTCAATATGCGTCGTAGTGTAGACTTCTAGTCAAGATCCGAGCTTGGGGGAAATACAACTTCCAGATATGACAACACCGGGAACCAGCATCACTCTCCGGCTATAATGAAAGAAGACTCATGTCCCTATCTTCATCAGAGTGGGTTGATTCAAGAGCTGTCTCAGCGATATGTCACGCGATAATTTACAACTCAGAACCTTGTTTTCATTTCCACCAATTCTGCTAACTGCAAGTATTTCTCCCCCTGCTGTTATTGTTATTACTTCCATTAGTACTCTTTACTTCTTATATTTTTCTTTCAGAATACACCTTGATAGCGTAAGATGCCTATCATTTGATCGTAATAGGGTGGGTAAGAAGAAGAAGGGTTTCAAAAGCCAGGGCAATAAAGGCAGTCTTCTTTTTTCTCCCTTTGACTCTCCAACCATGGAGATTCTTGGACGAAGAGATTCATGTATAATCCTGCGCGTATATTCATCCATGGATTAAATGGTTGCCGCATTGCTGATCAGGAACTTTTGCTCCGCTTGGTTGTGGCTTTTGGCGGGCACATGCGCCTTCCCCGGTAAAGTGACGTCAGTAGCTCTCCACCATTGTCGGTCTAAGACAAGCTCCCGTCAAGCTCCCATCCCTTCGCACCTAAGGCAAGGTACCGAGCTCAAGCTACGTCTTTCAACTTCTTTTTCCAACGGTGCCTACGTTCTTCCTTCTCAAGACATTTCCCCTACAGACACTGTCCACTACCACGAGCGGGATATCAAAGACCTGCCTGGGCTCTTTGGCCTCCAACCGCCACCATGCAGATCCGGAGCACCTCCATCTCGTCCTCGATCCTCGCAGCCATCTCAGGCGACTCAAACAACCCCGACAAACCAAGCCTCAAAAAGCGCATCTTTCGCGTCTTCACCTCCTTCCTATCCGTCTTCCACCTCCCTCTTGCTCGATACCGCGCCGCAGACTTCCTCGAACTCCGACACAATGTCTGGCAATTTGATGAAGACGAGTACACAAACTCCTTCCACCTAGCAAAGAAGGCAGCCAAGGGCAAGGGCCGCGAATCCGATCTCGTGCCTGTCGGCGATCTGGGGTACAGCGGCTCGACCTTCTTCACGACGGCCGATGGGAAGTTCCTTATCAAGTCGCTGCCCCGCCGGTTCGAGCACGAGTTCTTCACGCACGACTTGTTTGACGCATATGTTGCACACATGAAGAAGCACCCGCACAGCCTGTTGGTTCGCATCACCGACATGGCCTATACCGCGAAAGCGACGATTGGTGGCATTCTCGGCATGGCGCCGACGCACCACATCATCATGGAGAACCTGATGTTCGGTAAGAAGGAGGAGGAGACCGATCATCGCAGGAACCAGTGGGAGACATACGACCTCAAGCCCAACGACTACTTCTTCCCCGAACGTGATATCGCCAACGGCAATCTTGCACCACAGAGCGTCAAGGAACGCTTGATTGACGAGTTCGAGGACAAGGTTCGCGTCACACCCGCCCAGAAGAAGGAGCTGCTGGACATTCTCGAAGCCGACACCCAACTCCTGGCCGAGAACAACGCCGTCGACTACTCCCTCTTCATGGTGCGCTTCCCCGGCCCCAATGTGCTCGACGAAGCTCGCGACGTACCCACGATCCAATCCGACGCACCTCCCTGGCGCACCGGTCTGACGGACGCCGACGGCAACTGGACCTACCGCATGATCGTTCTCGACTTCTTCTGGGCCAAGCACAAGTTTCGCGCGAAGGCCATGACTGGGCTCGTCAAGTCGTACAACGTGTTTGCCGGCCACGGCCCCATGAGCATTACTGCCAACCCTACGGAGTATCGGGAGAGATTCCTCAACATGGTTCGAGATTTTGTCGTTGAAGTATAAGACAAGTATTCAACGAGTATCAGTAGGGGAGGTTGAAGGGTTTCCCTTGGCCATTGAGTTAACAAAGCACGGCGTTGGGCTAGCATGTATACCCCCTTTCCTTGCGTAGTATCAGTTTCCTTTCCAAGATTTGAAGATACCAGATTTCAGACTATGCTTTCCGATACATGTGGTCATATTTGTCTCCCACTGAAGTCTTGGTGATTGTTTACTGCAACTCCTGTGACCCTTAACTTAATATACCTCATCAATTCTAGTAATGCTGTTATAAGTTCTCGAGGCCTTTGTAACAAGTTTATTTCAGACTACACGCATTCGGTCCACTTCACTTGATTCCCTTCACTTAACCTCCTTCACTGGATCGTCTTCAGAAGATACTGGAAGCTACAATGAATTGGGACCAGGGTCCCCTCATAGCAATTGTGCCTCTTCAGACTTGTTCATATCCTACTTGTCTTCACGGTGACTTATCTTCCCATGAAGACTGGACTGCCTGGGCTCATCTGTGACATTTCAATAACAGGACCCAGTGATCTCGCAACTCTTTGGGACCCCTTTTGGGGTTGACTGCACTCAAAATCATCATTCTTCATAATGAGAACAGCCCCTCCCTTCCCAAGAACCCCTTTCAGTCTCTGACTGTCTGCTTTAATATGTCTAGCGTAGTCTCAGTGGTCTCTGACCAATGACTTTCTAACTTCCCTCATGTGAAGTTCCTGTCTAGCCTTCGTCTAGCACTTCTCTGGTCCACTTGCGCCGTCTTCATTCTCCCCTGAAGTTGGTCTTTCGAGCTCATCCGTCTACCGGTGTCCCCGCATAGCCTCAGTCCCCGTCTCCGGCTGCCCTAGGGTTGTAAAAGTCAGATCCTTTTCTCAGCTCACCAGTCCTCTTCTTCTCTTTCTTTTTCTTCTCGCCTTCACCTACCTCCTCTTCCTTACCTCCCTCTCTCCCTCCTCCTCAGTAACTTCCCTCTTCCCTCTGGCATCTCCAGAGGATCTAGATGAGAAGGGGGCTTCTTCCTTTACTCTCTTTTCCAGCTTCGCATTCCCTCTACCGCCAAACTCCTCGCCGCCTCGTCCTTCTCGACTTTCCGCTTCGCTCCGCGACTAGCTCCGCGGTAGTCCCTTCTCTGCTGAGTCTATCTCTGGGTAGAGTCTATAAGAGAGAGAATCTCTTCTTCCCGCCTCTTCACAGAGTCTTCTTCCTCATACATCCACATCAACACGCAGAGGCAGCACTTTCACTTACCTTAATATCCTCGCCTCTCCCTTTCGGAGTACTCAGGTATGTCATCCCGGCAAGAGCCTCACTCACCTTTGAGATCAGCATTGAGCATCATTAACATATCTCAGGTCGTCTACAGTCTTCCACCTGAAGCAACAATCTTTTCTTCTCCCGAACAAGTCTGCTTCCGAATCTTGGCCTCGATCCTATAGAGCAACCGCACAACAACACAGCAGCATAGACATAGAGACGGAGATTTCGCCTTGCTTTTCGGCGTTCTTGACGTCAGCATCGGCGCGCCTTGGCTCTTATAGAACAAGCCTTCTATAAGCCAGTTATCGACAACGAAACAAGATCATTTAGATCATTCACCAATATCGTCTACCTCAACAACAGGTAGCAGCAACGCTGAATGCAAAGAATCCCCTCGCGGTGATTTCTCGGCCTACTGCAACTCTTGGTCTCTTTGAGTCAAGATAGCTCAAGCACCTTCAGACTCAGCTAGGTAAGTCATGATATGTTTCAGCACTGCTTGCTCACCGCCCCAAGAACCTGCCCCTACTTCCCGGCCCTCCTGCACACCTGCCTTAGTTACAGCATCTTACGAATGGCGCTTTCCACCCGCGTCAACAGCCGCTCTTGCCTTTCCCGGAATGAAAACACGGGGGCTCCAAGAGTTCCTCCCTTCACATTCTGATTTCGCCCTTCGTCTTTCCCCTTCTACATCACCACTTTCGAGGACCCAACCGTCAAAGGTTGGCAGAGTAAGCGGTACTCTCAATCGTCATTTCCAATCCAATCGCTACAAGAATCGATTTCAGCCAGTGATTCCTATCTTTACTCCCGCATCATCTTCATCATTCATATCTCGCATTTCTCTCTCTTCAAGAGAAGCATCGTCGGTCCATTCGTTAACACCATTCATTTACAGTTTTCCCACAGAATCAGCCGAAAGCTCCTACGTCTCGATAGACCCTCTGGACCTCTTCCACCAGCAACACAACGCAACGGCGGCCAAAATGGTTGACAAATACGACCCCCGTTTCCCCGGCCGTGTCATCAAGCAGGAGAACAACAATGACGGTGATGAGAGCATCTATGCGTCGACTGACGATGGCTTTAATGATGACAAAAGCGACGCCGGAAGCCCACCCGCCCCTGCTCGTCCGATCCTTCCCCAGTCAAAGTCGGAGAAGCTCATTGATTTTGGCGACGACTTCGATGACCTCAAGGATCTGGAAGCTACTGTCTCTGACACCAATCATGCCCAGACGATTACGAGTGTCGCTGTCATTAAGCAGGGCGATTCCCAAGAGACCGCGATTCCGCCTCGTGAGAACAAACCTTCCCCGATCGAGTCATTCGTTTCTGGTCGCAAGCCACTGAACCCATCCTCAGCCGAGTTTACCCCCAGCAGCACGAACCGAGACAATTTGTCGTCAAAGCAGTCATTCTCGTCCTACTCAGATGCTCGCCAAAGTTTGGACGCGGGAGTTGGCCTTTTCGCCATGAAGTCTCGCCTCAGCCGGCTCGAGGCCGATCACGAAGCCCTCAAAAGCGAAAATGAGAGCCTCGAATACGTCAACGAATCGCTAAGGCATCAAGCGAACTTGGACCAGGACACAATCGCCAAGCTCAGGGAAGATATCAAGGAGGCCAATCTTCTCCGATGCAGAGCGCAGACTTACTCTGTCGAGCAGAATGAGCGAAGCAGCAAGGATCAAGAAGAACTGAGCAGACTCCAAGACGATCTCGACCATAGTCAAGAGCAGCTCACAGAATACAAGGCGAAGTATGCCGGAGCAGTCGCAAACAATGCACCTCTCGTTGCTCAGCTCCAGGCCATGCAGAACTGCCTTCTCAACGCTGTTGAGAGGGCCAAAATGTACGAGGCCTTCATGCGCTCCTTTATCACTGATCACCCAGAGGTTACAGAAGCTTTCGCAGTCATTGGAGTCTCTCCTGATGACGGCACAGCCACGAAGCCTGGTCTCTCGACGGTTCTTGGCATCAATGACGAGCCTTTGATATCATTTGAGGACCATTTTCCAGCTCTCCAGACACCTTCCAAGCCCCAGAACGTTGATCGAGACAACCAGGCCACTTTCCCGAAGCCCGAGTTCCCCTCCACCTTCAAGGAAGCCCTCGTCACGCCCGACGCTTTGGCTGAAAAGCAGCATCCTGCTCCCGTCATTGAACACCTTGACAACCAGAACATCAAGACTGCAACTAGCACAGCCGACACCATGACTGGGCTCGACTGGAGTGATGGCAGCGATAATATCTGGGACAGTCCATTTCAGAAGGAGCGCGCGCTGCAGATGCACCAGCGTACCGTTGGAAGTCGTCACCCTTCAGCGGTGCCGGGTATGTTGAAATACGGCCTTCGGTATATACGCGATGGGGCTGGTCAGAAGCTAACCGCCGACAATGGCGTATCAGATGTGTCTTCCAGGACGATCATCATGACTGGACTTCCCGATGAGGTTCACGTCCAGCGCATCCTTGAGCACATCCGAGGCGGTCGAATTCTCAAGGCCCACGCGATGCCGATGGGAACTAGTGATAATCGTTTCAACCATGCGTACATTGAGTTCACCTCTCCTGAGGATGCTAAGGCGTTTTTTCAATACAGCCTGGACCGCAGTCGCGAAATCGGATTCACCACGGCTGATGGTAATTCAGTTCAAGTCCGCATCAGCATGCCCAACACGGACTCATTTCCCCTCAAGGACTCAATCCTCACCATGATTCGCGAGGGAAATACTCGATGCCTCACCGTCACCGGATTCCCCGTCAAGGATCTGCACATGGTTCTCAAAAGAGCTGGGCTGGCGTCCACCTTCGCTGAAGTCATCACGCACTTTGCGTACACCGACGAGAAAAGCTTTCAGATCTCATTCTCCAGCATTGAGTCAGCTGTGCTTGTTCGTAAGTGTATCATTGGATCCCCTCTTTATAGCGGATCACGCGAGGGGCACGATGTCATCTTCTGCCCGGACCCGTGCGATGCCTCGCTCGATGATCTTCTCCAGATTCGACACCTCCCTACATCCCGCTCATTCAATACCGATGCCATCTCCGCAAAGAACGCCCGCGGCTTTCAGACCAAAGAAGAGGCTGAGGCCGAGGATCAGCGCTATCAAGAGGCATGGCTTGCGAATGCCCACTCAAATGATCTGGAGGAAGAGGCAGAGCTCGATGCATTCCGAGAGAGACAGAAGCCCATTACTTGGGAGAAAGGCGCAAACTGGGACGAGGCCGTTGAGTACATGGCTTATGATCCTGATCAGAGAAAAGAGGTTCGTCACCGCAAAGATTCCAAATCAGGTGCCTTTCAAATGTGGTATTCTGCTGGCTGGGCCTACACCACAGAGCAGTCGCAGAAGGAATGGCTGCACTATAATATTGACAGCACTGACCCTTATACCCAGCAGACTGCGGATTTGATATATCAGAGCACTGGCGCGATTGATCAACGAAAGGTGAATGCCTATCTTCGGACCAAGAACAAGAAGCAACATGAGCAAGACCATGACGCTAACCAAGGCGCCAACAGCAACAGCAAATCATCGTTGACGACGGCGGCGTTGATGGAGACGCACAGCAGTCTCTGAATGACGGATCGGCCGCTCGCCGCTCCAACCTCTCGGCCAAGCTTTTCGCGGAGTCCATTGGTATGAGGGGCAACGATCGATCAGTTCCCGTCACTGCCGTATTGCCAATTGCCGGCACCGAGTACAACCGCGTCGGCGGTAACACTGGACTGGGAGTCCCGTCTCTTCTAGACGCTCCGTCCATCCCGAACACCAATGTACCGACTACGCCTTTGGCATTCCGTCAGCGCCTTCAGGAGATGAACCATGCTCCTTCGTCCGTCGCTCCATCGGTCATGAGCAGAGGTGTAGCCCTGCACGGAATCACAAAGGCAGGATTCAACAAGCTGGCAGCCCGGGTTGCGCAAGACAAGCGCGAAGCGAGCATCAAGAAGGCTCGCAAGGATGATGGCCCCTTTTGGTAACGGGAGTGGATAGAAATGGGGGAGGATGCGGCCAGGGATCTTGCGATTGCACGTCGGGATGACGACTTTTTTGCCATCTTGTGGATGGTCTATCGGGCTTTGGTTGGTGAGCGCAGAGCGATAGATTGATGGTCCAGCTCAGAGATGGTTTGGAGAAGGATTCTCAACTAGCGTGATACAGCTAATTCCGTTTACATGAGTTTCAGGTCCCAAGCGAAACGCGTAATTTTGACGAAGGCATGATGAGGTGATGCTCGTCGAGAGTTCGCGGCAATGCATGCACGATGCATCAAGCAATCCAACATACCTTACAATGAATGCCGCGGATGAGGATGGATGGGAATAAGATCAAATGTATCTCTCCTGGCTAATCGTCCGACCTTGGGACGCCAAAAACGCCTCGCCTTTGCATTGTCTTGATTTGGACCCCTCTCTTGCTCCTCTACTACGGCCATCCGTCTTGAACTTTCTACTCCAACGTGGCCCCGCCAGGATAGCCCGCAGCGTCGGCCCTTCTACGCCCATCATCTCACAGTGCCTCATCTTGCCCACCACCTCTGGTCGTTGCTGAATCGTCGTTTCGTATCTCGGCGGATGGAATCGGCTCGATGGGATCTCTTGGACGCGTCGGTTTCCGCTCGTCACTCCCGTCTTCCACTACCAAATGCTTACATTCCTCTGCCCCCTTTCTCATGTGGTTGAATAAAATACACTAGTGCATGCGTTCGTGGATATCGTATATCGAAACATTTAAATAAAGTCGTCGACAAGGATGTGACTGTGCTGAATCACGGTCTCGTTGTCGTTCTTTCGTTCGAGTTTTGTAGGGGTAAGGTACGGAGGGTTGCCCATGGTTGACTACTCGATCCGTGGCGGCGTCTTTGACGAGTACGGTGATGCGCTTCTCCTTTTTGAAAGAAGGGGGTGTCAGGGAACCCTCAAGACAAGTTTACGGTTTTGACGCTTCAAAGATTGGGGAGTACAAGTACAGTAAGGAGGATGATAGTACTGCCATCATCCACATGCCGCAGAGACCAAAAAAGACAAAGACCAAATTCAGTGGAGGGGGTAATTTGAGGGATTAGCGCTTACGATCTCCTCCGCTCGCCCTCCTTGCGCAAGCTCTCGATAATTTTGAGCATCTCTTTACGTCCGCCGTGGCTGTCAATCAGCTTATTGGCCATGCTCATGCTGACCTTTTCGCGAGCGTTGGCGCTGAGGAGGCGCTTGATGAGCAGGTGGCGCATTAGGATACACACAAACACGCCGCAGTCGCTGCCGTTCTCCTGCTGGGGAGAGTCGTCGAGGTTGAGATAGCGGAGTGGGCGGCCGAGGATCTCGGACATCTTGTGGGTGGCGAGGCGGCCTTCTGCGTAGTTTGCGCCGCCGAGGGAGTCGTAGTGGAAGGCGACGCCGTCGATGGCGCTGACGAGCAGCAGGGACCAGTGGGAGCCGCCCTCGGCCTGGGCGACGTTGCGGGCGTCATTGATGGGGAGGAAGATGTGTGTTACTTTGGAGAAGTCGGGGAGGGCGGAGCGGATCTGGCGCATGTCGGGCTCCTTCATGAGGAGGAAGGTCATTGAGGGCCGAAGCAGGATGATGCGGGCTTGAGGGTACTTGGGGAGGACTTCGCGTTCCAGCCATCTGCAGTTGGCAGTTGTTAGGAGGGTTCAGAATAGGTGGTTATGGTCAAACTGTAAGTGGTTGGGACTCACTCTTCCCAGAAAGCAATGTTCTGTGAAATTGTTAGCCAGGTAGGAGCAAGCGCAGGGTAGGAGGTGTGCCGTACGTTGTCTGTCAACCAGTCGTTCTTGAGCGACTTGATGTCTTCGTAGGTGACTGCAATCAACACGAGTAAGCCCAAATGGTTCCCGTGTGCTAAATCGGAGGTTCAAGTAGCCGGAACCTGCGGACTCGGTAGGGTCCCGGCACCTCGTCATCCATCAGAGGGTTTAACATACGGAGAATATCGTGATCTGCATCGTCCAAAAGAAGCTGTCAGCCGGGGCCATGATCATCACGGAATGGTAGGATAACACCGCGGGAGGTGCGGCGCTTGATTGGGAGCAAGGAGGAGTGCGACTTACACGACAAGTAAGGTTGCTGCGGGGAGAGCTAGGACGCGATTCGGGTCAGTTCACTGGCGCTTGCGCTGAAACAGGACGGCCGCCCCTCTCATACTACCCCGCCGTTGCCAGCCTCACCACCGACGGCACTTGGGACCAGCAGCGACGAGACGAGATGGGCATGTGCTTGCCCGTCTGCGGCTGTCGTCCGACCTGGAGTGCAGGAGATGATGAAAGATTGTGACCTCATCAGGTCGCACTTCCCAGTGCTGCTGCTGCGGCGGCGGCGACGGCGAGGTGAGAGCAAGCTTGGCCAGGTCCAAGGACAAAGACGGGAAGGAGCAGGAGGTTGCAAGAAGAAAGATCTTACAGTGTCACCAAAGTGACGGGCCATCTTCCTGAAAGGCATGCTCAGGCGCGACTCGGACCTGTGGCCGGACTTTGTACTGCTCGTCGGGGAGGTCGAGGGGGAAAGCTGGAGGGATGCTGGTGGTGATACTGTGGAAGCCGATGCGGTAGAGGATATCGAAGACGTCGTCGATGTCGAGCCGGAGCGGGAGGAGTTGATCGCTCGGGGCGGCGATGGTTGTCGGTTGCGAGAGGAGCGGAAGGGTAAGAAGCGGCTGTTTTTCGCGGGGAGTTGCGTCAGAGGGGGGATGCTTTGGTTCGGTTCGAGAAGAGCGACGATCTTTTCCAGGAAAGACTTTAGGGTAAGGTAGGTGAAGTACTGTGTAGGTACGTGGGTTGACGGGTGTGTGGTAGGGAACTCGAGGAACCGGTACAGAGTACGGATAGAAGGAAGATTGTGAACAAGGACGGAGAGAGAAGGGTTCCGAGAATAGGATCAATCGGGAGTAGAGTGGGAAGAGAGAACGGAGGACGAGGGGGGGTTAATTAGCCAAGGCTAAGAAATGAAATCAAAAAAATAATTCAGGGCCCTTTTTCGCATCCGCTCTTTTTTTTTCTCGCTCGGGATTGATGAGCGGGGGGGGGGGGGGGGGGGGGGGGGGTCCTTTTTTTTTTGGGGGGGGGGGGGGAAAATTAGGGGTCCCCCGGTCCCAGGGTTGGGGCGGGGGGGGGGGGGGGGGGGGGGTTTGGGGGGGGGGGGGGGGGGGGGGGGGGGGGAGGGACGAGGGTCTCTGTTGTTTCTGCGTGGGCGGTGGGAAACTTCAGGATCCTCCTGGTCACAGGTTGCAGACGGAGCGGAGCGTAGGTGTTCGCTATGGACGACGGTGGGGAAGCGAACGGGGAGAAAAGACGATGAACGGGGCTGACTGGGCTGGCTGGGTACCTTAGGTGCACTGGAGTTGGGCTGGTTCCATGCATGCAGCGGGCAGTGTGTGCAGTGCAGCTCGGATGAGAGAGGCGAAGAGGTGCTGACTCTCTGAGAATCAGAGGGTGGAGAGGGAAGAGATGAGGCTTGAACGACGAGTGACGATGGGGGGAGACGTGGCCCAGGAGTGGCGCAGCACCATGATGGGAGGAAAAAGAGACGAAAAATGCGAGGTGACGAGGTGACGAGGTGCCGACAAGCCACACTTGTGGGGGAGCCGAGGAGCTAGGGCCACTATTCCGAGCTTAACCTGATTCGGAAGAGCGTCTCCACTCTCCCATGGTGCCTCCGGCGCACCCTCCAGAACCCAAGGGATGACGATGATGATGTTCCCGCCATGTTCTCGTTTGAATAAGCAGGCAGAGGATATAGGACTGAGAAACTGGAAGTGAGAGGAAGAAAGGCCTAATCATACCTTGAATTGCTTAACCGGCTGATACCCGTATGCGGTACACCAGCTGCTGTTTGAACATCAACTGCCGCGGCCATCGTATAAAGGTGAAGCACCGGCCGAGTCCGAGGGAGTACCAGGGACTGGGGGTATCGGGAGATCCTCGCAAAAGGTGTTTTTGGTGAGGATGTAAAAGCTGCACAGCACAGTCGGTGGGAAGGGGTATAGCAAGGAGTCGAAAAAGTGTTTGCTTCAAAAAGACCATAGCACTTACGTGGCAGCGTGGGCGAGGGGGGAAACACACGACTTTAACATGCGTCCCAAGGGAACAAAAAACGAAACGTGCTAGTCTCGATGGCCGATCATCTTCAAGACCTACCTTGCCCTACCTTACCTCAGTACCTACTTAAAAGACAGGGATGGGCAGGATGCCACAGTAGGTAAGCAAGGTAAAGGTAAGGTACGCGAGGAGAAAAAAGAAAGGGCCCCGAGACCTGGAGTAGGTATGGAGAAACTCTACGTATTGCCGCTGCATCCCGATTCTGTTTTCGATTCCCACCAAAGAAACGTCCCCTCTGCCTGCCTGCTTGTGACGAATGAATTGAGACGGTGAAGGGAGGAGTCACCATTGGAGAAGGAAGAGGAGGTGGGAGCCATGGCTAAGCCTCTAACTGAGAAAAACCTTTTCTCTCTCACAGTCAAGTCTCATTTACAGACCCTCCCCCTTCCCCCTCCTCCTCACTAGTAGGTATCCTTCATTGAACAAGGTAAACTGAACTGGAGGTGAGATAATTGCTTGGTGATGAGTCTCTAATTTGATCATCTCTCCATCTTCTCGTGGTCTCAATTCAAAGCAAGACGCTGGGGGTGAGCGACGGAGAAGAAAAAGGGCAGCCAAGTTTCACCTCGTCTACGTCACCGTGCTGCGGCATCATGATGCTGCTGAATCTGCGATACCACCCACCTGGCGCACTTCCCGCCGCAAACCCTTTTGGGACGAAAGTCACGGAAAGGAAAAAAGGCACCCAATGTCATCGGCCGGGTCTAGCCATTCCCGCCTGGGACTAGAACAAGCCGCTCGCTACTTTTTTGCCTAGCCCAAAATCTTTACCGTAGAGAACGTACTTCCGCCAACAGATCGAGTCGCACGAAAACGCTCGCGGCTTCAGTGACGAAGCCAAGTCCATCACTGGTGTAGTGGACCCTCAATCCGCAGTACTTGGGTACGTCAAACCATCAAGAGGTGGAAAAGCGCAGGCGGGGGAGGAGGAAAGGAAAACGCTCGTCACTTGCATCGGCGTCTGCCGAACGTGGCTTGCTCCTCCCAAGGGCCCCGACCCAGAGCGCCAAGTTGATCAACCAGCCCCAAGCAACCCACCCGCAGGGCTGGTGGATGGACATGGGGTGCCGGTGGAGAATGGCCTAGCCAAAGGGTCGATTCGGTCTGGGAAAGGAAGGACTCATGGATTCAATGCATCTCAGCTACTGCACTCTCTCTCGTAGCACACTCATCCTGGAGCAAGATAGGTAGGATTAATCTGGTTGGAAAATGCCGAAGGGGGTCTTGAACAATTGACTTTGAAAATCGTGCGTTTTTGCACCACCCTGCCACCTTCTTCGACCGTCCGGGATTGATATGGTGGGGGTCCGAGAGAGTGAGAGAGGAAAGGGAGGCGCCGAAAGCACGCAAAACCTCGGTGCCATCCGCTCACGGCCCGGAAGTGGGACGAAACGCCTGACAGGGCAATGCAATAGGAAGTCAGCAATGTCGTTGGTCAGGCATCTAGAATCCTGGAATCTCAATTGTGGTATTTCCTCAGGGTAGACCCTGTTGTGGAGGCAATCCTATCTTTCTCGCCCATCAATCATGTCTCATGTTCCATCCTTTTGTGTTCCGGATATCGTACAGTCGTTGCTTCGTCCTGTTGTCCTGTGTCGTCGCGCTCAAATAAACATGGGAATAGAGCTCTGAGTGCTGTTACCTTGCGATCACAAATATCTCAGTCCGATCCACCCGCGAGACCCCCCTTGCGTCCCGCCTCGCGCGCTCTCTCTGAGCCGGGCTCAAACGAGCCGGACGACGCCTTGCCGCCCTCGGAAGCAACCTCGCGCAGCTTGTCGGCGTCCATGCTGGCGAAACCGCCCGTGTGGCTTGCGTGCCCACCCTTGGCCGCGATTTCTTGAACCTCCTCCTTGGGTCTGCGGTCGCGTTAGTAATCTTTCCATACAATACAAGCGCATATGCGAGGCATAATGTTGAGTTAAGCTTGATATGTGAAGGAGCCGGATGCCGGAGGATTATACGAAGCCAGCTTACCGGTTGGCGAAGTTGCCGGGGTTGGTGTTGCCGGTGGCCGAGTGGGTCTCGGCCTCGATTCCGCCGCCGTGGCTGGCGTGACCTCCCTTGGCCGCAATCCCGCGAACCTCCTCCGTGGGGCTGTTGAAGATTGTCAGATACATGATAGTAAAAGACAACATATGTCACGGCAGAAATAACGTACCGGTTCGCAAAGTTGCCAGGGTTTGTGTTGCCGCTGGGTACCTCCTGTGGGATGCCACCGCCGTGGCTGGCATGGCCGCCTTTGGCTGCGATCTCGCGGACCTCCTCAGTGGGACTTTATTCCGTTAGCACTCACTCAAGAGTCAAGAGATATGTAGACGCTGGGGAATGGTACTGAGAAACATACCGGTTAGCAAAGTTTCCGGGGTTGGTGTCGGCCATGATGATGATTTGAGGTATGGAATTCGTGTAAGTGGTAGTGGTTTCGACTTGAGATGGGAAGTGATTGTTCGTAGGTGTGATGTGGAAATGACGATTCGAGGCTAAGAGGAGAGCTTCGTGGATCTTTATATCAACTGCAAAAGACGACTACCTTTGTACTTAAGTAAGGTAGGGAAGGAGCTGCTCAATAAGAAATAGGTGCAGCTGTTGCCTGCTCAGCTGCACAGTTCCTTCCTTGTGACGTTCATCCTAGGCAAACGAGCCTTCCCCTCCTGTAGATCGCTGTTGCCAACCACATAATATGACGAGGAAAGACCACACCTGCACGCTCTACCCCAAATTAACACCATGAAGAATTTCACAAATGCACTACCCAAATTGCTAGAATCTTGTGCAGATTGAGCAAACAATGTCGCCAGAGACTCACTGATTGGCGATGAAGTTGTCCAGAACCGCCATGCCTGGACTTGAACTGACATCACCCCTTCGTCAAACCTGCCAAGAAGTCCACAAAACTCCCCTATAGACCACTCCAGACCGTTGGAGATACCCTGCGCACCTTAGTCTGACGATCTGTTTGTTTACTTTTCTTTCATCTTGGCCACACAGAATACCTTATTGCGACGCGTTCGCACCCTTAACGTTGGGTAAAATGACGTCGGCTCACAAGATCGTCATTGGGATATTTTCTGATTTGCTATCCGTGAAACGCTAGGCGGATATCCCTGTCGAGTAAACAATGCACATGGTGACAAACGAAATCTTCAACGCATGATATTCATCAGGCAAACCCAAGAAGCACGTCGAATTTATGTTTGGTAGACACAGATTCCATCCACAGGGTGCATTAGGGGTCTATCCTCCCTGGCTACTTAATTGGACCTCCTCGGTTCCTCGTACTGCCCATCCTATTTGATGCCGTTCCAGTGCCTCCAAGACGCTCTCAGTCTGTACCCAGTCTGCAGCCTGAACATCGGAAAGTAGTGGTGGACCAACCGCAGCTCAACTACGACATCAGTTCCGTGTACACTCTCCGCCACAACGTTTACTTGACACGGTTCGCGTCTTGTAGAGGCTTCCCGGCCTTGGCAACTCTATAAATGTCGTAGACACGATCGCGGTCGCCAGGCAATAAAATAGTGAGCGCCATCGAGACTGTTTGCCAGCTTCCAGTTGTATCCCCAATCCAGGATTACCGCACTCGACTTTTCGTCCAATAAATGGGACCCTCTAGGGGTTCCCTTACGTCTCAAGGGAAGCTTCCCTCGTTGTGTCTCGCTCCGAGCCAACGATTCTCTAGCATCAGAAATCCTCTGAAATATGGACCGTCTGCTCATGGATATATCCCAAGTGTGCTGCGGAACCATGAGAAAGTCTCAGGCCCCTTTCGCAGACGCAAAAATCATGCTCCGGTGTGCCATGCTATCAGCCGCTGTCGTGATCAAGTCCGTCAAAGATCCCTCTCTGCCGGTGATAGTAGTAAATATACCACCATCAAGGCTTATGTGCTGAAGGCAGGGTTCTGCTCCATCGTGCTCGAAATGTGCTTCCGCAGCGCAGCCCACCGGCTCGAAGTCGCACTCGTCGTCGTCTCGTGCGATCCCGCCTCCTCAACCGCCATCGCACCAGCACCAGCACCAGCACCGCTGGCATTCACAGCAGCTGGCACGGAAGCCAATGCTGCCATACTAGCCCCAAACCTCGCCACCTCAGCCTTCACAACCTTCTCCTTCCTCTTCAGCGCGCCCGGCCTGCTCTTGAGACTCTTATGCCTGACCTTCCCCTCGCGCAGCTGATCCAGCGTCTGCGCGCCCTCCTCCAGCTCCGGCAGCGCGTCGGCGAGCGACTCCATGGTCGCGACGAGCTTCTTGTTCGGTCTCCGGCGTTTCAGGGTCTTGCCGCTGCCCGGGGCCGTCTTGGCGACTTTGCTGAGGAAGGCGCTGTGTTTCATCGTTCGCTTGTCTTTTTTGTTGGTGAGGAAGCCGTCGTCGACTTGGGCTTCGGGGCGGAGGGTCTTGTGCGGCGCGAGGGGGTGGATGTCGCCGCGGATGCGGGCCATGCGCTTTTCGCGGGCTGAGAGGGCTTTTGTTGGTGCTGTGGGCGCCTTGGAGGCGTTAGTTTGGGGAGCGGCGACGAGGAGGAATCAGATCGCATTACCATCTTGAGTGATCTATTTACTGAAGGTTCTGGAGAGTTGTATGGTTGAGACGGCTCGAGTTCAAAGCCGGATCTGGGTCAAAGTGGGATGCAAAGTACTAAAGTTTGAGGACGTACTTGACCTGACCCAAAGCTTCAAAAATTCGTGGTGGGGCCGAAAAGATAGAGATGTGGGTCTTCTAGAATCGCGGGGTCGGAGATCGGGGGCGGAACCTCCGACATTTTATACAGGTCCGCCCCGCCGCTCACAAATTCCGCGCTTGGGGAGTCATCGATTCTCACTTACACCGCAGACCGCGCAGACCGACGCAATTATGGGCAGAGTCGAAGAGCTGCAACGCAAAGTCGCAGAGGCTGAACTCGACCTTAGGAACCTCAAGGAACAGCTGGCCAGCGCAGAGAAAGAGGCACAGGAGGATGCTTCAGCATCATCATCATCTCAACCCTGGAAATGGCCCCTGCAACCCGAGGATTATGAGAGATATGGACGACAGCTCATCATACCCCAAGTAGGTGTCAAAGGTGAGCTTTATTAATGGCACACCATTTGTGAAATAACTCCACTGAAACGAGACTCCTAGGACAAATAAGACTGAAAAAGTCCAAGATCCTCATCATCGGTGCCGGGGGTCTGGGATGCCCCGCAGCGGCCTACATCGCCGGAGCAGGGGCCGGCACCATCGGCCTCGTCGACGGCGACGTCGTCGAAGTCTCCAACCTCCACCGCCAAGTCGCACACTCGACCGATAGGGTCGGCATCTCAAAGGTCGAAAGCGCAATCACATATCTGAAGGGGTACGGAAACCTCTCTCCTTCCTCTGACCCCATCTCCACGAAAGCTCACACTCACCCACCCCTCCCAGCCTCAACCCCCTAGTAACATACCATCCACACAAAACACACCTAACCCCAACCAACGCCGAAGAAATCGTCTCCCAATACGACCTCGTCCTCGACTGCACCGACCACCCAACCTCCCGCTACCTCATCTCCGACATTTGCGTCCTCCTTCAGAAACCCCTCGTCTCCGCCTCGGCCTTTCGCACAGACGGCCAGCTCATCATCCTCAACTCCCCCGCCGCGTCGCAGGGGACTCTGGAAGGCGCAGGACCATGCTACCGCTGCGTGTTCCCCAAGCCGCCGCCACCCGACAGCGTCGTCAGCTGCGGCGAAGGCGGCATCCTCGGGCCCGTGGTTGGCGTCATGGGCGTCCTGCAGGCTCTCGAGGCGATCAAGCTCGTTGCCTTGGGCGCGGTCGATCCCGATGTGACGGACAAGAGCGTGACTGCGGCGGCGCCTTCGCTTCTCATCTTCTCGGGCGCGGCGACGTCGGGGCAGTTTAGGTCTGTTCGTATGCGGGGCCGTAGGAAGGACTGCTTCGCTTGCTCTGCGGCGTCGACGCTTTCTCTTGAGACTCTGCGATCGGGATCGCTGGACTATGTGTCGTTTTGCGGTGTGACTGCGCCGGTCAGCATACTCGCTCTCGAGGAGCGTATCTCTGCGACCGAATACGAGCGGGTGTCCAAGGAGAAAGGTGGCCGACATCTTTTGCTGGACGTTCGCGAGCGCGAAAACTTTGACATTTGTAGCATCGATGGCGCTGTAAGCGTACCGATTGCAAAGTTCATGAAGGAGACGCAGCGGTCCAGCGAGGGAGTTCAGCCTCAACCTGAGTGGCTGCCGTCGGATTTCCCAGAGGATTCGCCCATTTACCTTGTTTGCAGGGTCGGCAACGACTCACAGCTTGCGGCAAAGCGTTTGAAAGATCTAGCGCTGAACAACAATGGCAAAAGATTCATTGGAGACATTGACGGTGGCATGCGGGCGTGGAAGAGAGACGTGGACCCCACGTTGCCTTTTACCTGAGATGGAGCGAAACGGGGCCACTGGAGAGAAAAGATGTGGATATAAAAAAGTTGAATTTGTTCTGACGAGGGGGGCTGGGTCGTCATGATACATACTTTTCCTACGCGATACCCCTATTGCTACAAAGAGAGGAGGGCTGCCTTCGCCCGCTAGCCATGATCCTGATTAATCCTAAAGAAACTGTTCTTGGCAGAGAGCCGTGGTGGGTGGTCGTTGTGGTGGTACTCTACACGAAGCTGACACGCTTCTTGTTGAAGGCTCGCTGGTCCTTGAGCCATTGACGGTACCCCTTGACGCTTGAGATTTTCTCGCCGTAGAAATCGGGGACTAGTAGAGATCAGCACGTGAGAGCGTGGCATATTGATTGGGGAGTGTACTTACCAGGGTTACCAACAGAGGAGACAGAGGGGTCAACACGGTTCTTCTTGATGCGGGCGAAGAATTCCTTCTCCTTCTGCGGCAGTAATCCAGATTAGAAAAAGTCCTTGTCCTCCGGAACGTAGAAGAGGGCAACTTACCACCGTCATCTGAGTCTTCCACCTCTTGTTCAGCGTGTAGAACACCAGAGAACCAACGCTAGGTCCAATAAGCCATCCAAGAGCACCGAAGCCCATCGTCATAAGGCCCATCGTAATGAAAGGATCCAGCGGAATCTGTGTCACCAACGGGTCCGCAATGCCAGTAGCCAAGATGCCAGCACCGCCAACAAAGGATCCCAATCCAGAAATGACGCTGAAGCCAAGCTGCCACCTTCTACGGGACTTGCGCAGCTGGAAGAAGGTCTCCCAGTCCAACCTGTCCCCCGGCGCAGGGGCGGACTTTTGTTGCGCCGCAGCGGAGGCGGTAGCGGTAGCGTTGCAGCGTTGGGAGCAGGGTTGGCGGACGACGCGGGCGACGATGGAGGACGCGGGGGATGCGGCAAAGGCGGCGCTGGTTCGGGCGATGGGGCCGGCTGTCGAGGCGAGACCAATTGGGCGGGCAGAGGCTTGGTGCTGCTTCATGGAGGCGGTCGAGTACGGGCATGCGGTGGTGCGGGCGATGGAAGAGGCAATCGATGCGCGGGCGGCGCCCTGGCCGGCGAGGCGGATGGCGAAGGTGCTCGTGGGCGTCAGCATATTTGCGAGGCCTTGGCGAAGAGTGTTGATTAGGTTCGGGTTGTCGTGGGCATCGACGTTGCGGTGCGCGCGGGTGGAGGGGAGATTTTCTTTTGGTGGTTTGGCTTTGGTTTGCGAAGAAAGAAATGGAAACCGAAGCTGGGATGTGGTGGATGGAGCTTTGTGCTCCTCGCGATGAGGTCAAGCTCGGCCCACCAAAGATTTGACGCCCTGCACAGCGCGCCGGTAGACGCCCAGCCGCAGCTTCTGCACGGACCCTTTTGCAGCACCTGCTTCCCCGGATCGCATGATCCTGAATTCCAAGGGTACTTGGTGCCTTAGGTAATACAGCATCACGCTCAGCTAATTACTACCTAAAGGTGTTGTATAAGGTAGTAGGATTTGTTATATTAAAGATGAATATTAGTTTAACAGAATTGAGCAAGCTATTTGAGAAGCAGGGTTTTTTTTCATTTCTCTATACTTTGATTTTAAGAAATAAACTAAAGAAATAATTTTAAATAATAATTGATTTTTGATGATTAAAGAAGTTTGTAATGAAATAAAATATCTTCTAATGTACTAATGCTAACTATTTTAATTCTAATGAGTATTGGGATTTGTAGTGGTCATGCTGGTGGAGAATAAGCTAATTAAAGTACTAAGGCTTCTAAGTTTCCTACCTCTCCCACCCAACCGGCGTCACTGCCACGAAACACAGCGCAGGTATCGGCAAACCACGCGCAAAAATCAGGTACGAGATTTCGTGATATGAATGAAATTCTTCAATTGCTGTCGTATTTTTCTGACGCCTCTAGCCAGCGGCGTTGTCGAGAACAAAAGCGTTGTCTTTACTGGCGGAAACCGCGACACGACACGAGACGAACACGAACGCCGATTCCCAAACCACAGATACCTGCTTTAGACGACGGACGATCCTACCGAAGCCTTCTCCGACCTGCCGCTGCACCGTTTCGTCCAACGGAATCACAAAAAAGGCGTCAGGCGTGGCATGGTGGACTTCTCCGAAAGGAGCAAGAAAACCATGTCGCGACCTTCAAAGAAACTCGTCTGGTTCGGTGGTCAACCCCCCACCCCGGCCGACACCAGCAACGGCGCCGCCACGACCAACACTACCACGACATCTTCCGCATCCTCGCTACCGACCCGGCAACCCCAACCGCCCCGAAAGAACCCCGAACCCGAGCCGCGCAGGCTCGCCGTGGTCCTCGAAGACCTCCCGACCTACCGCCGCTATAAACGCGGCTCCGGACCCCCTCTGCGACCGATAACCCTCGCTCCGCCCCGCGACTCGACGGCCTACATTCGCGACGAGTTTTTCGTCCCGCCCGCGCTCTCTGACGACGGTAAGAAGCGTCTTCAGTACGTGGTGGGATGGACCGATCTGCCGGCCGCGCGGGTCGTGATCGATGCCGAGCAGATATGCGACTACGTCTCGCCCATGGCATACGAGGAGTGGTGCGCTGCAAGAGCTGAGGAGCGGGATGAGGAGGAGCGCCGGCTGGAGGAGGCGGAGAATGTGCGCGCTGTTGAGGAGGCTGTGGCGAGGGAGAGGAGCGTCGCGATACCAGGCGAGAAGGGTGGAAAGGGGGCGAAAAGGGGCCGGAAGAGGAAGCATGTGGCGGCGGAGTTGAGGACACCACCACCCGCCACGGCCGCGGACGGAGAGAAGAAGAAACGGGGCAGGCCGAGGAAGAATGCGCCTTCGCTTTCTACGCCGTCCAAGAGCGCCTTGGTGGACGACTTCAGGGAGCTCGACACGGAAGGCGACGCGGACGTCGAGATGGAAGAAGTGGCCGATGACGAGGCCGACGACGAGGCCATCTTCAGGCAGCTCAATGGGACCGGGACAACAACACCTTTGATTCTGACGGAGGACTCATACGACTCTGGCGAACAGAGCAGTCTACCCGCGGGCCTAGAACCCCCGAGCAAGAAGCAGAGGACCCGGTCACCGAGACCGGCCTTCTCGCGGTTCATGCCGGGAATCGAGACGGACACCAGCAGCCGGAGCACGCCTTTCGACTCGTCCAGAGGCGCCACCAGCTCACCGGCCCTGCCGCCGCTACCACAACCGCCAGCGCCGAATCTCCAGGATAGTAGTGGCCGGCCTCGGGAGACGCCCATCTTCCCGCCGATACCCCCGGCCTCTGCGAACCACACATCCACGCCCACGGCTCCGCGGGTAGCAAAGACGCAGCAACCGCCGAAGCGGTCCCTCCTCTCCATACGAGATCCCCCTTCCACGCCTCAACAATCGTCCTCACCAAAGGTGCAAACACCTACACCAAAAGCGAGCAGTATGCTTCCCCCGCCAGCCACGGCGCCCCCCGCGCTGAACCCGACACAGAACGGGACAGGCACAAATACAGGCTGGAATCACACACCAATACCCAAGCCCGGCTCCACGCCTTTGATTTCAAACACGACCCCTTGGACGATCTCCCTCGCGGCCTCAAAGTCCTCATCCTCCTACTCCCAACTGACGCCCTCGCAGCCAGTTCAGTCAATAGAACAACCCATCTCTACGACGCCTATACCACTACCCAAGATACCGGGCCCAAAACCACACATCGCACCAACCTTACGAGAACCACAACAAGCAGCCCTACCACAAACCGCCTCAGCACCTCCCGCAACAACAACAACAGGCAGCAAAACCGCAGCCACAAACTCTAAACCCACCACAACCAAACTTCACACCGCGCGGAAAACCGGAACGGCAGCAGCATCAACAGCAACACAGGATGATGACGAAGAAGAAGACGAAGACGAACAAGTCTACGAAGTCCTCCGCATCGAAGGCTTCGAAGACCGCGTCTCCCGCCGCAGCGGCAAGAAACTAGGCCGCTTCTTCCAGGTCCGGTGGAAGGGCAACTGGCCCTCCTCCATGAACCCGACCTGGGAGCCAGAGTCCAACATCCCGCAGCACGTGATTCAGAGGTTCTACTTTGAAAAGGGCACCACGCCGAAGAGGAACGTGCAGGCTGGCGCCATGGATAAGTACCTCGTGCCGAAGAAGTACTCGTCCGTGTCGCGGGCGGTTGAGGGCGAGGACGAACTTGTCAGGGGCCATGGCGATCACAGCAATGGCAATGGTAATGGGGTCCCGGCTGCGGCTAAGGCTGCACTCGCGACAGAGGCCGGAGATGAGAATGCTATGGATCAGATTAAAGTCGAGGGCGATGATGATGAAGGCAACGATATGATGCTCGTTACCGACTTTCGAAACCTTCTTGACCCCGAGCGAAGGTTCTGAATAGCAATGACCAAGTTATGATAGCGATTCCCTGCGAGCATCGAGTAGGATCAAAAATAGTGGTTTAGATTCGCGATCAGTGGGTAGCCACATATCAAACAATAAAGAAATAAAAAAAGAATCAAACAGTGATACCAAGACCAGGATATCGTTTTTGCAGGCAACGTTGTGGGTCGCCCACTGGAAGTGATGTCCTCGAGTTGTATCCAAGCCTGGAGGACAAGAGATATGTCACCAACTTGTTTCAATTGGTTGTTTATAGATGTCCCACAAGCTCCCCACATCACGTATGGGATAATCTTCCAGTGTCGTGGAGACAATATGTAAACATGGGTGAAGCCCATTTATCATACATTTCTAGAGGTTTGCGATGTTTTCCTGGTCTCTTGGATTTTCACTTTTGCAGTTGAGGTTCGCGAACATGATGACCCAAGAGTTGCTGAGGCTCAAATCAGCGAGAACGCAACTTACTCACCATCGGTCATTTACGTATGCTTAGTGCGACCCAAATGAGGTACATGGAGAGCATAGCCAGATCGTTAAAATTATACATTTATTTCTTCGAGCTCTGGGATCTTGTTGACTTATCATGTAAGAAGAAAGGATCAGATGATGCAGCACAGGCATTGTGGCCCGTTCTCTGCAGAGTAGTGTAGACTCAAGGGCAATGGCATTTTCAATCTCAGGTAGAGGATTGGAGCATTTGCACAGTATCTTCAAAATACCCTATGCCATCTCGTTAGACCAGCTTCAAATCCTATCAGCTCACGACGTTGACAGGTGCGAGTTACTGTCTGAAAATGATTCCGCAGCTCACCCCCGCCAATCCCGCATCCCACCGCCCGGGGTTTACATAAGCCAACCCCTCCAACTCCGACGCGCGCGCATTCTCCGTCCGCCGCTCCCCCGGCGCGCCCGCAGCGAATGCTACTTGACACTAAGGTATCCGTACCTACTCCGTAAACTTATTAGTAGGCCGGGAACCTCCCTCAGAGCGTCGTCATCCAAAACCCCAAAGTCCGAACGTCAGAGACACCCGGGGCGACACAAAAAGTCTCCCGCGCCCACCCACAACCAGCTAGTACCCTGGCGCAACTCATCAGTTTCAGCATTTCCCTTCCCGCTTCAACATCCCATCTTCATCACTCCTTGGACTTATCTGGCATCATCCCAGCTTTTTCGGCCTCGCTACCTTACCTCTTATCTATAGCTCGAGCTTAAGCTCGAGCTCATTCCCCTCCAAGAACGCCAGTGCCTCTCATCACGGAAAATAAAACCGACCGACCTGGCTTCGCCTCCCACAATACCTTCAACCTCGTCCGTCGCAATTCGACGTTAAAGCACGGGGGACAATGACAACCTCACTCCCCCAAGAACCAATCTGCCTCCTCCGCCGCCTAAAAGACCTCGCCACCCTCTCAACCTCCTCCGCCCCGTCCGAGAAATCTTACCCTTCCATCAAGAGCATCCCGCGCACATCCCCCTCCCGCCTCGCAGCAGCAGCGGCAGCTTCCCCAGACGCCTCCAGCAACGATGCATCTTCCACCCCCACCGCCCTCGCCGTCGCCGCAGAACAGACATCAGTCCTCTACCTAGCCTACGGCTCCAACCTAAGCGCGGAAACCTTCCTAGGCGCCCGCGGCATCCGTCCAATCTCCCAAGTAAACGTCTCCGCCCCAGGTCTCTCCCTCGTCTTCGACCTCCCCGGCCTCCCCTACACGGAACCATGCTTCGCCAACTCGGCGCCCCGGAAGATCCCCAACCTCCCGGACCCGGGCGATCCTCCCAAATTCCCGCCCGTGCCGCCGCTACCGCCTCCGTCCGCCGCGTCGAACCAGACGAAGAGGGAGAAGAACAACACCGTACCGACGACACCAGACCTGGGCTGGGACAAGGGCCTCATCGGCGTAGTCTACGAAGTCACGCCCCGAGACTACGCCACAATCGTAGCAACAGAGGGAGGCGGCTCCTCCTACAAGGACATCCTGACCCCCTGCATCCCGCTCCCGCCCCGCGTCTCCGTCCCCGAGAAGCCGCCCATCGACATCCCCCGCCCGTTCCTCGCGCACACGCTCTTTTCCCCGTCCATCCCGGACGCCGAGCCCGAGGAGCCTGACACCACCTCCACCTCCTCCTCCTCCTCCTCCTACAACTACAGTAACGCCAAGGACGGCGGCGACGACGACAAAACCCCAACAGACCCCCGCAAAAAATGGTACTACCGCTTCCTCCGCCCGACCCGCCGCCCCGACCCCACCTACGCGCAACCCTCGCCCCGGTACCTGAACCTCATCACCTCCGGCGCGGCAGAGCACGAGCTCCCGGACGACTACCAGCGCTGGCTCAACTCCCTCGTGCCATACACCCCGACCTCGCCACGACAGAAGCTGGCGCAGTGGCTGTTAAAGGCGCTCTTCCTCCCCGTGTTGCTGGTGTTCTTCGCGCTGAACAAAAAGGTGGCCAACAAGGAAGGGAAAGTGCCCGTTTGGTTGGGGGTTACGTTGGGGGTTGTGTTTAATTTGCTTTGGATGGCGTATGATGCCGTGTTGAGGCCTGTTTTTGGGGATGGGGAGAGGACGCAGGAGGAGGAGGAGGGTGACGAGAAGAAGGGGTGGGTGAGGGGCAGGTCATGGAGTGGACGTGTTGGGTGTGGTGATGAGGAGAAGATGGGATTGCTCGAGAATATGGATTGAAAATATCGTCTGGGGATATTATTGAATATGGAGATATACATATATGTGGGGGATACATTTACAGAGAATTACGTCTTGAAGGATCTAGGCTTAGCTTGCTTGTACCGTTCCATCAGACAACGGGGACGTTATACGATAATGTAACTAGATTGGAAAAGCAAAAAGAGTTCACCATCGGTGTGGCTACATCTCTTGTCGGTAATAAGGTGCTCATACTGGGATTCGAACTCGGGTACTGGCTAAGCCTGTCGTCGAGTAGGCTGGTTGGCGTAGGAAATGTAATTGTCGACCATGAAACACTCCACCACCCAGCCAGTTTGACCTGACCCGTCGACCCAGACGGGCGCCTGCTGGCTGGTGACGGGAATGAAATTGGAGGGGTATATCAAGGATGAAGGACGGATGATTCACTTGGTAGCGCGTAGGATATATCACCAACCACAAGATCGACCAGAACAATGTGTGTCATTGCTTAACCTGTCTAAATCCGTTCCTTCACACCATGCCACTGCGGTAAATGATCCAGGGATATCAACATACATCTTTCAAAAACCGATAACAAACCCAATACTCCGGGCCTCTACCACATACTCGCACACACCAGCGTGCCGTTGGACCTCTTTCCGTCACGATCAATAATGTTCCGTATTATCCACATGCCTCTTTTTGATATTCAAACTCCCACAAAGTAGACCTTAGTTCTCCGAAGTAGACACCAAGGTCGGGATATCGTCGACGCTGTATCGTCCCTCGAGAATGCCGTGCACGGCAGTGAAGAGAGGGTAGTGCTTCTCCTGGCCCCTCGCCTTCAAGAAGCTGTTGACCTCCTGCGCCGTGCTCGTACCCTGAAGCAGCTGACCGTTCAACTCGCGCTTCTCAATCTCCTGCACGCTCAAGCCCTCGGCAACGGCCATCCTGGCGCACTTGAAGTTTCTGCCACCGCTGCACGAGGTAATCAGATCCGCCACGCCGGCCGACTCCTCGGTAAACGTCCCCGTGTGCACCGTCTGGCCAAAGAACTCCTTTCCAAAGTTGACCATCTCCAGCAGGCCCACGCGCATGATGGCGGCCTTGGCGTTGTCACCCCAGCCCCGGCCGTCAACGAAGCCGGCAGCAAGCGCGACAATGTTCTTCAGGGCGCCGCCCAGAGAGACACCAGCGACATCGGAGACCATGCGGACGTGGAAGTAGGGGCGGTGGAAGAGGTGCTTGAAGATCTGGTGGTCCAGGGGCGGGTACTCGGCGGGCACGGCGGTGAGCTTCGTCTTGGAGGTGCGGCCGCGGGCGTCCTTGTGCTGCATGTCGACGGGTGTCAGGGGCGCAAGGCCATTGCCGCCGTTGGCGTTGGGGTTCGGGGAGGTGGCACGCGGGGTCGGGGCGCGCGAGTTATCCATGGGCGGGGGGTCGTAGGCGACGGTGGTCTCGGACCACTTCTCGGCGGCGATTTCAGAGGCAATGTTGGCACCGGAGAGGGCGCCGCAGTAGATGCCGAGGCCGTCACCGATCCATTCGGAAAAGAGGGAGACGCCGTCGTCGGAGACGTTGACACCCTTGATGCAGGAAATGCCACGAGCAAAGGGCAGAATGTGGCCGTTGAGCTGCTTGCAGACATTGCCGATAAACTGGTGGGGGAGGTTGAAGATGAGGATGGTGGAGTCCTTGACGGCGTCCTGCAGGGAGGGGTTCGCGATGATGTTGTGGGGGAGCTTGATACCGGGCAGGTATTTTGTGTTTTCGCGGTATTTGTTGATGACGGTGGTCAACTTTTGGGGCTTCTCGCCTACGGAGGCATCGTAGTAAGGCGATGTCGAGTCGAGGGTGACGTCCTCCTCGTACACCCACATGTGCACATCTTCTTCGAAGAGGTCGGGGAAGGCCTTTGTGTTTTCGGCGACGATCTTGGAAATGGTTGAGCCCCTGAGTTGGGTTATGTTAGTGTCTGTTCATCTAGTCGGTGCGGTGGAAGCTATGGGGGAGGAAGCTATGGGGGTCGCGATATGAGATATTGGGGTGTATGAGAGGCACTAGCTCACCAGTTGCCGGAGCCCACGACGGTCACCTTGTGCTTCTTCTCTACGCCGAGGGAAGCCATTGCGGATGTGGAGTTGAATCGTCGTAGGGGAAAGCTGCTTCTGGCGATGGAAACAACAGGACGCAGTCTGAAAAGCATTGAGGTACAGTGGAGCAAGAGGGTAAGGTAGGAAACGCGCCAAAAAGGAGGGGGTGAAGGTTATCTTAATAAGTAGTGTACTGGCCGGGACCTGGAGGAAGTATCCGTACGGTGAGGTACGGTAAGGCCCAAGGATAAGGTAGGTCAAGTGGAGGAAGGGTAAAGCCGGGAAGTTCAGGTAAGACAGTTACGGCAAGGGAGGGTCCAGACAGGTATCGGCACCGGCTCTTCTTTCGGTGTGTGTCGTGCGTGTCGTGTCTTGGTTCACGGGTCCTGGGGAGGGTCACTCGGCGGTCACGAATCGAATGGAAGCGCGGCAGTAGCAGCAACAGCAAAAAGCAGTTGATTAGCAGTGAGCAGCAGATGGCAGAAAGAAGAAAAAAAAAAGGGTGCAGCTCAGCATGTGGTTTTGCCCCTCCATCTTTCCTCCCCTGTCTGTCTCCAGCTATCCCGGTTGTCCAGTGTCTTTGAATCTTTCCGGGAATCCACCAACGCCCACCGCACTCAATGCTGTTGCATTTTGGTGTCGGTTTGCTCCTGCCACCACAACTAGGTACCGCCGCAAGTAACCCCAGTTCCATACCCGTCCTGTGAGGGAAGCTGCGACCAATTGCAGCCAGAATCCGCAGTCAGCTCAACTCTACCTACCTACTTTAGTACCTGAGGTACTGGGGTGCTCCTGCCCAGCGGCAGTGTTGAGAACCAGCATGACGCACATCCAGACCAGCAGGGTCGCGGCAGCAGTCGTGACCGCTTTCCCAATCAGGTATAGTCGCTCAACGAAATGCCAGGGGGTTGAGGCCGAGTCGGCGGGCCCCTTCCCTAATTTTTTCTGGTCGGTCCATCTTTAGCACTCGCTGTCTGTTCAAAATACTTGGGCAGGCAGGACCGAGCTGAGTGCTGAGTTGGCCCGGGCGGGCGAAGGTCCCTGACCACCGGAGAGCCTCGGCCGGACACTCCGCCTCCTCCGGCCCTGGCCGAGGCAAGTAGGGGCCCGTGAATCTGACATTTGCACGTTTGTTTGTATCGTGAAAACAGCGAGTCAACTTCCCTCTATCAGTCCCCATCGTCTCCATCATGTTCTCCTCATTGACCCCAAAGCTCGGCTTGTCACAAGACAAGAAACAAAAGGTCAACAAATTGCTCCTCACCCCACCATCCCTATCAATTGTCCCCTCTGCCTCCGCCTCCCCATGTCCACAGTTCCAATGTTCGTGTCTAAAAGTGGATTCACTCTTGGGTGGGAACCCAAACAAATAAAACCGATCCAAGATTAGATGCAATGCACCATTGGCACTCCAATCCTCCCACTTCGCCCCCCACTGCCAGGATCCATAGATGGGAAATCACATGCCAGAATGCCAGCTCGTGTTACCCCTTTCGCTTCTTCACCTGTCGACGTCGTGTGGCGGACGGCGTCCCTGAATCCCGACCGCGGGGGTAAATCGTTAGTCCACGATGCTGATCGTCGCATGGGGCCACCCGGATTCATGTTAACGGAGCTCGGGTTTCCTCAAATGTTTCTGCTGTTTCCTCATTGGCACGACCACGAGATATCGCGGCAACGCGGCGTGCGGTTGTGGCCGCGCCGCGGCAGACGCCAGACATCCCGTCGACTACATCCCGCTCGCCACCGCCGTCGCTAAACTAAATTGCCCCTTCTTCCCGAGTGACATCTGATTTTGCCGCCTTTCCTCAATGTGGCATGGTCCTGCCATCGTTGTCTCTGTACCATTTGCGGCCGAGTGACGATCCCCACGATGGCTGACATGTGCTAGATTCCTTTGACAATGTCATTGTTCAACAGTCGCTCTTCGAGGCTTGTATGACATCTGGCAGCCTGGAGTAGGGGTCCACACGTCTCCCTGGCTGAATTGCCTGATGGTTCTACGCCTGTCCAACCCCAGAAACGTAGATGAGCGAATGAGTGCAGTTACAGATGTATTCTAGAAGGTTCGAAGTAGCATGCGTACGATCAATATACGTCATCCTGATTCTTCCGCGAAGCAGATATACTATTGGACAGCAGCCGTTCATGCAGCATGGACTTCCTTTGCTCGTAGCTTGATGGAGTAAGCCAGACTGAGGCTAGTCAGTCAGTCTCCCGAGCCCTTGAAGCTGTTGCTACATGGACGAGTAGGTATGCCCAATCTCACGGTCAGTTGCCTGAAGCCGCCCCATTAAGCTCAGAGCAATTAAGATGCCCCGGTGACTTCTACTAGTGGTCCACACAACAGCTCTGGAGAAACTTCGTCTATGCTGTAGTCTCGTTGACGCTGCATGGTGATCTGGCCCTAATATTACTAGAAGTAGTGACAGCGAACCCTAAGGAAAAGGGGAGATGAGGCAAAATCACGCTTCCTCTCGTCTGGGATGACTCAATCCTACTGACAATGAAATATTCGATTCTATTCGAGAGGTAAAAGGGACGGTCCGCACTGACCTAAGTGGAATGGTTATAAAGCACATGTCCTGCCCGAAAGATTCTGAGACTCGCGTCAATGCCGGGAGAAAGAAGATCGAGAAATCGCGGGCAGGGTATGTTCACCATGCATAATGAGGCTCAACCCCATGTGGCGCTGGGATATGGTCTCATTCGTCGCTTTCGACCACATGCTCTGCCCTCGAGGTACCCCGGACTTGGCTCTGGAAGATCCTCAACCACACTTCAGTCATCATAAGACTCTATTTATGAATACATCGCACCAGCTTCTTGTTGAATCGCCGATAACTATCTACTTCGCAAAATGGAAACCTTCCCGGCATGATGGTAATTGCCAGTACTTTAGGCTTACGTAGCTACGAGGCGTTGTTCTATGGCCTAAGAAGCAGCACAGCTGTTGGGACAGCTTGTGGCTTGAATGATAGCTAAGCTAAATACTAGAGATGTCGCTTGTCAGAAACCCGCACTTACCAGGTTCTAGGTAGTGAGATTCAAACTCTAGTGGCATGCCTTGTGTGTTGTCTAAGTAGTGACGGCGAGTCACCAGATTTGGGCGATGCAGCGGGTAAGAGTTTGTGATATTCCTCCAGTGTCACCTCACATCATGAGGAAGTAGATATTCGCCCCTGGAAAATTAGTTTGTTGAGTGCTTTGCTTCATCTGTGATTTCTCTCAGCCCGGAGATAGATTTCATGGTTACAAATAAATGCATTGCCACTTAGCATTGTGGCCTTAGTCGAGACTGCTTCACCAGCCTAGAGACGCTATGGTAGTCTGACATGACACACGTCCATCATGATGCTGTGGGCAACATCTTGTAGATAAGCAAGTGGAATTATAGTTTTTCATTGGGGCAGGGAAATTTCTCGACTTCTTTACCTACATGTAGAATAAATCCGAAACCCTCATGGCTTTATTGCATTCGAGATACTATGATACGCATCGCGTCCAGACTGCCGATGGGAAAAGTCCTTGGTCAAAGCCGCCCACCATGAACATTGAGACAGCCTTCTCCTACACCAAGTCTAGCGGACGGCCGCTATTGGACAGTGCCGCAAGATGAAAGAAAGCACAGAACACCGTTGATGTTATCCAGTCATGTTGCTAACGAGCCTGGCCAAGCCACCCTTGCAGCCTGAGCTATCTCCCACATGGGCACGGTGAGGTTATCTCTGGTTACAGGGGGCGGAAAGGCTAGACTCATATAAGAGATGAGCACTAAGTGCGTCTTGCATGAGCTACGTCATGGCGGGAGAAATAGACATGGGAGCACAAAAGCGGTGTCGACTCCATAGCATCTGCAAAAGAGTGAAGACGTGGACCAGTCGGAGGAGGACCTTGGAAGAAGGAGGAGCTGGGAAGAAATACTCATTTTGGAGAGTTCGGATAATGGGGGTGAAGAATGGGAAATGAAGAATTCGATGTCGCGTTGCGACGGGTGATATTCAGGCACGGAAAGTCAATTGGAGTGGCACATGGAAGGTAGCTACGAGTAACGCTGGTTGCTGATCAGCGAGAGCAAAGCCAGGAAACGGGAAGGTGTGACAGGCTACCGATACCTCAGAAGGAAGGGAGGAGGAAAGCACCGGCGAGGGCAAGAAGGAGCACAGGAGGGTGGTGGTTGCCGATCGTGCGTTGGAAGCTGAGCTGGAGCTATCTTTCCGGAAAGAGCAAGGAAGGTGCAAGGTGCTAGGCAGAGATAAAGGAAGGCGGGGCATGAAACCGCGTCTGTGCAGCAAGGCGAGCCGCTAGAGCTGATGCGGAGGGATAGCTGGTGACGTCACTTTCTTTTGAGTGCTGGGATGGAGCTCTTTCTGATTCTAGTCTTCCATCTTTTTGTTTATTTTTTCTTCGTCCGATTTCTTCGTTTCCATCCACGTCTCTTATCCTCCACTCTAACTTAGTAATGGAACTCGAGGAAAGGAAAGACAATGAAAAGAAACACGAAGGTCTTCAACGAGATATGGCATACCAGACGCATCAGATCATGCTAGAGCCTGCCTTAGTTGGTGCACATCGACGTGGACCGCAGCATGCGCCGAGAATCGCACAGCTTCCGAGTCAGATCATGGTCGCCCAAAGGATTCCCGGCCCCTCATACGAGCGAGCCTCACTACCTGTGCCTGCTTCAAGCCAAATCAGGTAGAGGCCACCACCGGCAGACCATGCAGAAAACATCTTCAGTGTCCATCTTTGCGATGACCTGAGACGGCATATCGATAAGACAGACTTTGACATTACAAACCGTTGGGATATGGCGATGATACTCCAAGAAAGATTGGGCATGGATTACAGCCGTCGGACTCCTCTCTATGACTTGATCCCGGTCTGGCCTGTCCTGGTCTTTCATCTCTGCTGCGGCCTGCCGTGCTCTCCCAGTCTCGTCTCAGTCCGAGTCTCCATCCCCGGCATGCGACATTAAACCCCCCGGTTACCGCTCAAGTTTGTTGCACACACGATATGGAACACTCGCCGCACTGGGCCATAGGAACACTGGCTGGCTTTTGACTGGCCAACTCACACCAGTCTCTCTGCATCGCGATCCAAGAAGCACCCAAAGAGTGGGAATTCTCAGTGTCGACAGCGGTCTGGAATCTCGAGGATCGCGATGACGGCCCACGACCGGCGCAGCGCTAAGACCAAACTCCGCTAGGGCGTCTAGAGCAGCATGGGAGACCCCACCGAGCGTGCGAGCCTCTGTGTTGTCCCCGCCCAAGCTATCCGGTTTGGGCGCTGCCAAACATTCCCATGTTTGCCGTGCCCGTCATTTTTTATTTTATTTTAATTTTGGCAGCTTTGACAATTGCGGGTTTGCTGCGGGCGATGACATCCATGGATGTACCTTCTCCGCATGCTTTTGGCGGAGAGATACATGGCTGCCCCGCCCCCCGCCTGTCGTTCGAGTCTCTGTTCACTGGAGCATTGGAGACTTTTTCTTCGTCCTTTGGCTTCCCGAACTGACTGACATTGGAAGCTCTTGCATTTGGCGAGATTGGCATAGGTGCCAGGGGGGAAAAAAGCCATAGCTGGATAAGTACCTCAGGATGAGGTGAGGCAGCTTGTATCTCGTCAAATTTTCCTTTCCTTGTAGCTGTGTTGGTGAGAAGGATCTAGGCGAGATGGCCTAGCAAAACTCTCAGCACTAACACGGGATACACGGAATCCCAGCGTTCTTCATCGCATTTTGACCAGAGCTTCCGCAGCCCCCGGCACCTTGCTTTGCTTTCCGTACCTTGGATTGGCCTGGATTTTTGTTGGATCTTCGCTGCTTTGCTGAGCTCTTGGAATTTCTTAGGTGAGCCTTGCTACTCTGGCCCAGGAACGAAAATGAGGCAGGGCAGGGTAAGGAGCATAGCGAAACCCCGCCATGTCTTGCCCTTCCTGCTATTACCTGCCGTACTTTGGTACAAGGTGAGAAGTAATGAAGGTACATGAGAAGACCGGCCGGGCTGGGAGCTGTTGGGAAGGTGAGGCCATGTACCTGAGCTAAGCTGATGGTGCTGTCTCTCTTTCTGGCCCAATCCGTCATATCGTCACCGTCCTCGGCCGTGTTTTTCTTTTCCTCCTCCTTCTCTCCCACACACTCTCCAAACTTCTTCTCTTCCTATCACCTTTGCCTATTCCACCTCTTACAGCAGCCCGTTTATCCTCGAGGCCCACGGCCAGCTCATTCTACCGTCGAATCGTTTCGCCTCCATCTCTGTCGCCTCTCAATCAATTGCACCTGCAATTGCCACTCGCTCCATCTAGCTGCGTCTTCACCCTCGCTCAAACCCCAGCAACCGGCCCATTCTTTTTCTGGCCGGAATCGTCTCCGCATAAGCCAGTGCGCTCTCTTCCACGTCCAGGTCATCTACAGGCCCCATCCACGCCCAAGGTTCATGGTCCACGGCCACAGCTTGCTGCCCGTCGTCCCCAGGCCCCGTCCTCGACCTCGCCCTCATTGATACCCACGCCGCCGATCTGTCCGCGGGGCACGAAAGCTGCCTCCTACAACCTACGCAAATGGTCCCGAAAACCATGGTATCCAACGAAGTATACCTCCTCCCCCTCAACGATGATGGCTCGCCTCAGGTCGCCGGCGAATACATCTATCTCGCCCCAAAGACAAACGATCCTGTAACAATTCGCTTTGCAATCGAGGGTACCTCATCCATCTGTCGCCATGGCAGTCTGTGGGTCAACATTCCAGAGCAGGGCGCCGAGTTTCACAGAGACCAGTTTCGCGAGTTCAAGTAAGCTTTCTCTGCGGCTTCCACTGCTCCTCATTGCCATTGTCCAGTTTCTGGCGTGTATTCGTGTATGTAGCTTGCGACTCATGCGTTTTCTAGACTGAAGCCCGACTTCAATCGGACAATTGAAATCTCCATCCCCATCTTCCAGGCCGGCGCTTACGCCTTCTACACCACCTATGCCGAGCTGCCAGAGCTTGAAGAGGAGCTCGACTCGACTCCCCAGACCGGCGCCACCAACAAAAAGACGCCCCTCTACTACATCGATGTCGCCCCGCGTCTCAGTCTCGATGGCCGCCCGCTGCCACTGCCCGCTCTGTCCATCTTCTCAGTCATTAGCAAGTTTATGGGCAAATACCCAGGCGACTGGGAAAAGCATCTTCGCGGTATTAGCGATCGCGGTTACAACATGATTCACTTCACCCCGCTGCAGGTTCGCGGTGCTTCCAATTCCCCATACAGCTTGTACGATCAATTGGGCTGGGATCCCGAATGCTTCCCTGCCGGCGAGAAAGACATTAAGGGCTTGGTGGAGAGCTTGGAAAAGCAGTATTCCCTCCTTAGTTTGACCGACATTGTCCTTAATCACACGGCACACAATACCGCATGGCTGCAAGATCACCCGGATGCCGGATACAACTTGGTCACGGCACCTTGGCTAGAGTCCGCGTGGCTGCTGGACTCGAAGCTGTTGGAGCTTAGCGAGAACCTTGAGAAGCTTGGACTTCCCACCGAGGTGAAGAGCGACGATGACCTCATCAAAATTATGGACGCCATCAAGAAGCAGGTGATCTCCGAGATTCGCCTCTGGGAATACTACGCCATTGACGTCGAGCGCGACGTTGAGGCGGGCTTGGAGGCTTGGGTTGCCGGCAGCACCACCCTGCCGCAAGACACCACTGGCGACGCAAATGTGACGGGACTGAAAGACGCATCTCTCAAAGACCAGGCCGATTTCCTCATCAAGAACGGCCTTCAGGGCGGTGACCGCATGGGCGAGAGGTTCAGGAGAAAGGTCGACCCTAAGGTGGCTTCTGGACTTCTGTCCACCATCTTTGGACGCTACGAGGGTGAAGGGGGTAGCGGTCCGACCAAGGCGGCAGCTAAGTCAAAGTTGGTGTCTATTCTCGACGAGATCAACCTGCCATTCTACAAAGAGTATGATAACGAGCTCAGCGAGATCCTGCAGCAGCTCTTCAATCGTATCAAGTACTGCCGACTTGATGAGCATGGCCCGCGCATGGGCCCCATCAACAAGGAGTTCCCTCTCATCGAGACCTACTTCACTCGTCTGCCCAAGAACGACACAACGGCCAAGAACAAGCCCGAGGAGAATGTCTTGGTCAACAATGGTTGGGTTTGGGGCGGCAACGCCTTGGTCGACAATGCCGGCCCGGATTCTCGCGTATACCTGAGACGCGAGGTCATTGTCTGGGGCGACTGCGTCAAGCTCCGCTACGGCAAGGGTCCATCAGACAGTCCTTTCCTGTGGGAGTTCATGACCAAGTATGCCCGTATGCTCGCCAAGTACTTTGCTGGTTTCCGCATTGACAACTGCCACTCTACGCCAATCCATGTTGCCGAGCACATTCTGGACGAGGCACGCCGAGTCCGACCGGATTTGTATGTCGTGGCAGAGTTGTTCTCTGGCTCCGAGGAGATGGACTATGTCTTCGTAAAGAGGCTGGGTCTGAGTGCTTTGATCCGTGAAGCCATGCAAGCATGGAGCACTGGAGAGCTCAGCCGCCTGGTCCATAAGCACGGCGGTCGTCCCATTGGAAGCTTCGAGGTTGACGAGATTTCAAAGGCAGACCCTAAGTCCCCAATGAGCCCCATGAGCCCGGCCAACGAAGGCAGCGACCTGCTCAACGGGAGCAGCCCGTCCTCGCGAGAGATCATCCGGAGGATCAAGCCTGTACCAGTTCAGGCCCTCTTCATGGACTGCACTCACGACAACGAGACCCCGGCTCAGAAGCGTGATGCACGCGATACCCTCCCGAACGCCGCTCTGGTCAACATGTGCGCCAGTGCAACTGGCAGTGTCATGGGTTATGATGAGATCTACCCCAAACTTGTTGACCTCGTCAACGAGACTAGGCTGTACACGTCTGAGTCATCCTCCAAGCCTGTTAAGATTGGTGGCGGCGGAAACGGCATTGGCGGCATCAAGAAGCTCTTGAACCAGATCCACACCCTCATGGGCAAGGACGGATACGATGAGACTCACATTCATCATGAGGATCAGTACATCACCGTACACAGAGTACACCCTGAGTCGAGAAAGGGATACTTCCTGATTGCCCACACTGCTTTCCCTGGCTACGGCAACGGCAATGGCGCTTTCAACGCGGTACACCTTGGAGGCACCAAAGCCCGTCATCTTGGCAGCTGGATGCTTGAGGTGGATGCAAGCGACGAGGCTCGCAAGGAGGCTCTGGACGACAAGAAGCTTCTGCGTGGCCTGCCTAGTCGCGTGGTAGATGTCCCCGGCGTTCGCATGGAGGTCAAGGGCGACGATACCATTATTACTGTGCGCGACAAGTTCCCTCCTGGCAGCATTGCTCTTTTCGAGACATGGATCCCGGCAGCTGAGCACTCATCTGGTCTCGACAACTACGTCACCTCGGGTGCTAGGTCCGCGGTTGAGAACCTGAACCTGGTGGATCTCAACTTCCTGCTTTACCGATGTGAGGCCGAGGAACGTGATGGAAGCGGTGGCAACGATGGCTGCTACGAGATTCCCGGCTACGGCAAGCTCGTTTATGCCGGTCTCCAGGGGTGGTGGAGTCTTCTGAAGGATATTATCCGGGACAACAACCTTGCTCATCCTCTGTGCCAGAATCTTCGTGACGGCCAATGGGCTCTGGATTACATTGTCGGACGCCTGGAGCGCATCAGCAAGACTCCCGACTTTGAGAACCTTGAGAAGCCCGCCGTCTGGCTCAAGGAGCGGTTTGATGCGATTCGCAAGATCCCCAGCTTTTTGCTGCCAAGATACTTTGGCCTCGTTCTGCGCACCTTGTACACTGCCTCTTGGGAGCGTGGACTTGAACTCATGAACGACAACGTTCGCGAAGGACAATGGTTCCTCCAAAGTCTCGCCATGGTCAGCGTGCAAGAGACTGGCCTTGTCAAATCTGGCTCTTTGTGGCCCAAGAAGCTGGTCCCATCGTTGGCTGCCGGTCTGCCTCATTTTGCCGTCGAGTGGGCGAGATGCTGGGGACGTGATGTCTTCATCTCCTTGCGTGGTCTCTACCTTGGCACCGGCCGTTTCGACGAAGCAAAGGAGCACATCCTTGCCTTTGCCAGCGTTCTGAAGCACGGTATGATTCCCAACCTGCTCAGCAGCGGAGCTTTGCCGCGTTACAACTCTCGCGACTCCATCTGGTTCTTCCTTCAGTGCATCCAAGACTACACCAAGTTCGCACCCAATGGACTGGACCTGCTCCAGGAAAAGGTCAAGAGACGCTTCCTGCCTTACGACGACACCTGGTTCGATGTCGATGACTCTCGCACCTATTCCCAGGAGAGCACCATCGAGGATATCATCCAGGAAGCGCTGCAGAGACACGCATCTGGCATGTCCTTCCGTGAGGCCAATGCTGGTCCCTCGATCGACTCGCAGATGAGTGACAATGGCTTCAACATTTCCATCAAGACTGACTGGGACACTGGCATCATCTTTGGTGGTAACCAGAATAACTGCGGTACATGGATGGACAAGATGGGTGAAAGCGAAAAAGCTGGCTCAAAGGGTGTTCCCGGTACACCCCGTGACGGCGCTGCCATTGAGATCACTGGTCTCCTATACAGCACTCTGAAGTGGGTGGCGTCGCTCAACCAGCAAGGCAAGTACCAGTATTCGTCCGTGAAGAAGGCAGACGAGTCGACAATTTCTCACAGAGAGTGGGCCAACCTGATTCGCGACAGCTTTGAGCGATGCTACTGGGTTCCTCTTTCTTCTGAGGAAGACGGCAAGTACGATGTCAACCCGCAGGTCATCAATCGTCGCGGAATTTACAAGGACTTGTACAAGTCTGGCAAGGAGTACGAGGACTACCAGCTGCGTGCCAACTTCCCCATCGCCATGTGCGCGGCACCCGAGCTCTTCGATCCCGCGCATGCGCTGCACGCCCTCTTGGTAGCCGACAAGTCCATCCGTGGGCCTACAGGCATGGCGACTCTCGACCCCGCCGATCTCAACTACAGGCCGTACTACCGCAACAGCGAAGACAGTGAGGACTTCGCCACTAGCAAGGGACGAAACTACCACCAGGGCCCGGAATGGCTGTGGCCAACTGGTTTCTTCCTCCGCGCCCTGCTCAAGTTTGACCTCGCCAGAAGAGGTGACCAGGCTGGACGCATCGAGGCCTTCCAGCAAGTTACGCGGAGACTCATGGGCTGCAAGCAGATGATCCGGGAAAGCGTCTGGGCCGGACTCGCGGAGCTGACACAAAAGGATGGCGAAGATTGCCCCGATTCTGTAAGTTGTTTCTGATTGTCAACAGTGGCTCATTTGCTAACAAACAATAGTGCCCTACACAGGCGTGGTCTGCCGGTTGTCTGATTGACTTGTACATGGATGCGGCTGAAGAGCAAAGCGACAAAGCCAAAATCGCCTTACCTGTAAGGACCAAGTAAATGATTCGACGTTGCGAAAACTAATAACTCCTACTGGGAACCGTATTCAAATTAGTTAGGCGCTTTGAGAGTTTCCACGCGGATGATGCAGAAAAGACACCCTGGGCCCGATCAAAAGCAGTATGAACTTTGTTGATTTTTGGATCCGAACACGACACGCGTTTAATGGCATATAGATAGACTGCATGAATATTAGCATGGTACACCTGAACTGCGTCTTCTTCGCTTGGTCACACTTGTAGATGTCGCATAGTTCAAGTACACGAGGGTGAATAACCTTTGGCTTTGCGTACTCTTCACGCGTGCCGAACACATGTCAGAAAACCTCACTCAAACCGAATCGAATACATGAGATTCTTGACAGGTTCAAACCTCTCCATCCCCTCGCCCCTGAGCTCAAAAGCAGGAACCTCATCAACCCACGTCTCAATCCTCGCTCTCCTCCCATGTTGCGCCGCCGCCCTCGTCCAAAACTCGACAAAACTCGCTTCCGTGTGCCGATACAGCCTCTGGCCCTTGTGCATCTCCTCCCTCCGCGCCTCGCCTTCCGTCGTGCCCGCCGTGCGGCCAAAAATCAAGTCGTTTGATTTTCCCGAGAGTAAAGCTAGCAGGAAGGCGGCGTAGGTTTCTTGGTCTTGTAGGCTGAAGCAGTGCTGGACGTAGTTTGCTGTGATGATGGTGAAGTTGTCACGCCAGGAGGAGGGGAGGGTTGAGGGCGGGGAGAGGGCGTTTGCCTGGAGGAATGTGATTGGGGTGTGAGGGTCGTTGAAGAGTGATTTGCCGGCGGAGAAGAAGGAGGGGGTTAGGTCTATGCCGTGGAGGGATTGTGGGGGTGAACCTGCGTGGAGCTGGGGAGTTGTTAGTTGATTGCTGGTCGAGATGGCTGGTCGAGATAGTTTCATGATATTGTGTGGCATTCTTGTGGAGCTGATGGTAAGGGTGCGTAGAGTGTAAGAAGTCAGGCAGGAGGGGAAAGGATAGACGCACCAGACTACGTAGATCCTGGCCAACGGCGCATCCGAAGTCGACGAGATTCTCGCCTCGTTGCGTACGCCACACGGCCTCGTCGAATTCCCTGTTGTTTCGGAGCTGTAGCTTGAGGAAGAGCCAGAGGCCTATGCATGGGTAGGGACAGTCGTCCCATGCCTTTCTGCGCTGAGGAGAGAGAGGCCGTGGGTCAGTACTTCGTTGACGATGCTGAGGAAGTCGGGTTTGGGAAAGTCCAGGGGGACGAAATGTGAGTGTGAGTTTGAGAGGCCGGGCGGTGAGCAACCTACTGCTTCTTCGAGATGGTCTTGGAGCTTATCTTCTGGGATCTTTGCGTATTCTATAAAGAGCCTTTTTGTATGTTCCTCGAGAGGGGGAAGGGTCTCGGTCCAGAATGGGGAATTTGTGTCTCGGTCTGTGGGGATGCGGTGGGCTGGGAGGTTGGGGGTTGCTTCATCGGCCATGGCTGCAGAAAACGGGATGTGGTAGAACGATTATTAGAAAGACGAAGAGAAAGTCAATTTGCCAAGTCATGTATGGGAGAACGAGGGGAATCAAGATGCTGGGGGATGATGTCTTTGTCTTGTATTTAGAAGACATGCGGATGGTTGTAAATGTCTGTGTGCTGGTAGCTGGGATCCGGCGAGCTTGGGGAAGTCCCGTCGGTCGGGGGTTATTTGATAATCGGAGCCGATTGGACTTCATGTTGGGTGCACGTCTAGTGCTCAGATGAACTCACGTATGGCGCGTGATAGACTTCATGCCAGCCTCAGTACCATTCATAGGTGCACGAATGAAGGGCGCCCTCTCTAGTTTGAGCTCGCGTGCCGGCAGCCGTTGAATCGGTGTCTACGTCTGTGATTGAGTGAGGAAGAAGTCCCAATTGAGGACCTATTGTGTACACGAAAGATATCCTGTTACAAATAATAGCCGAAGACCTTCATTCGCAGGTCATGTATCTGGCTGAAACCTTTTACTGATGTAGAAATTTACCTATCCGTGTTCACTGTTTCTTCGGACGAAAAAGTCAGGATGCTTCCACTTCAGGAAATGGTTGGCAGGAACATGTAGGTTGATATACCCTGGAGCACCATGTACACCGTAAGTCCTCTTCCACAACCTTGATCTGATCAAGATATCAACCAGAAGTGTTGGGCTCGTCCTACAGGCCAGATATGGAACGAAAGACTATAACTGCGTCCACGCCTCTTCTTGCCGTCCTTCGTTGCAGAGGGACGGAGAGCTCCACCCTTCAACATATCTCGTCCAACCTACCTGTAGAGTCTCATCATCTCGAACGAAAAATACCAGCAGTAATCATGCCCGTCAATTGAATAGCAGAGCTCGACAATGGCGGACGCCGAATTCTCTTCCAAGAAGTGAAGCCGTAGCGGAGCATAAACGATACTCGTCCCGCACGCAAGCTCGAACCAATTATGAACAGGAACCATCGAAAAACCCACCGCGATGCCTGCGAAACATCCTGCAGGTGCCAGGACCTCTGCGCCCACATGGCAGTTTGATCGACCCGCTCAGACAAGCCTCATGATTGTGGATAATACTCTTTGGCAAGGGATTGAAAGAAGGAAAAGCTTACGCATACGACCACGGGATATCGGCATCGAGTCAGTTACAGTCGCAAAACAAAACAAAACATTGCTGGTGCTCTGAATGTAAAGCGTGTCAGTGGCCGTGGTTGTGAACGGGTATAAGAAATTATCATTTGATTCGAGATGATGCTAAGCTGACCACACGAGCCCTCCCGCTTTCCGGGGCCTGTTCTTCAAAGAACATTTCCCCCGGGGCCCAAGGGAAACAGGCCGCTTCTGTTACGCAGCTGTGTGAGACTGGGGGTCTCCTGCCATCGGCCTGTTTCCACCCCTTCAAACTCGCCCTTTTTGATTGCGTGGTTTCACTGTCAAGAACCAGGACCACCAATGCTGATCGTGTCCGACGACAGAACCCTCCATTGTTTCCAGCCGTACGCCTAATCAATGACCAAAGAAAAAAAAAGAAGAGCAACAAGTATTGCCTGGGAACAAGTATGTGTGAATATCCAAACACCAATGCCGTGAAATATGTGAACGCCGTCTCGTTAAGCCGTTGAGAGATAGTGATGAAGAGTGATGCCGCACAACATGTCTACTGAAGTCGCACTCTCATGTCCGCTCGTTGACAACCCACTTCTTCTTCTCCTTGGGGGGCTTCTCATCGTATACGGCAGGCGGCGGGCCGGGCATGAACTGGCCGGGGGAGTTGACGATACCAGCTTGGTTGACATTGACACCAGAACCGGCAATGATGCCGCTAGGTCCCTTGTGTGCGTGCTTGCCGAGCTCGTACATGCGGTCCTTACGGCGGAGGTAGCGTCGGCGCCAGATGCAGGCGCCAACCCAAATACCAGCAATGGCGACAACGAGGATGACAAGCATGACGACCCATCTCCAGTGATTAGAGAGCCTATATTGGAAGGTTAGCGATAGCGGGGCATGGAAGGCTGGGAATATTCTCACCAATCGCCGCCATTTCCACTGTTGGAGGATCCTTTTGAAGCTCCGCTTGTTGAGGAAGATCCTGCCGAGGACGAGGATGCAGTCGCAGCACCGCCTGTGACGGAATTACAGAATGAAGTGTACCATCCTTGGATACTGCTGAAGCCAGCGTCGTCGCATCCAGCAGCGGGGCAGACACCGCCGGCGGCTGTTGAGAAGGCTTGCAGAACACCCTGACTACAGAAACATCTGTCGTAGGTATTGGCATCTGCCGCCGCGACAGCAGGAGGAACACAGGCGCCGTTGGCGTCGTATAGGGGGCCACAGTTCACAGCGCACGCGGGCAACTGCGCAAAGGGCATAATCGTTGTTGAGAGGCCAGCTGCATCATGTTTAGTTATGGATTCATCATCCAAGATTGCGGAATTGTCACTTACACATCTTGACGGTGTTGGCGATTTGCTGGAGAGTAAGGGAACAGATGGAGCGTTGGAGATGGAAAATGAAGTAGGAATTCGGAGAGAAGTAGGCAACTTGTCAGCCGTTGCGGCCAAAACAAGTCGTTGGAATGCGGAGACGTTGGGAGCAATCGATGGTAGGTATTCCCTCCTTATTGCGGTGGTCCAAGACACGTCGGGTGGCACGAGTGCGAAATTGAGCCACAATCCAGCGAGTCAAGCCCAGAAGATTGGCGGCCGGAGAGGAATGCGATGCACAGTTGGTAGCGGTGAATTCGCAGATTGAACTTGATCGCAGCAAATAATCCCGAGTTGTGAACAATGCCGTTGGCGGATATGCACGTCAGCGTGTGGTTTTCGTCCCAAGTCGGTCGAGGTTGAGCCAGGTCCAGCTGCCGTCCCAGGTTCTGCCGCACAGATTGCTTCAAAACGTCGTAATGTGCGTTTCGATGCACGAAAGCCAAGTTCTGGAAATTTCGGGAAGAGATTCCGTGAGAATGCAAGTCCTTCTGATGATTTTTCGTGTTCCGGTTTGTGACGTCGAGTAAGCGTGGATTCTGACAATTGCGGATGTTTGTCACCAGCGTTCGGTCGGCTCGGGCTTCGGAGGATGGAGCGTAGGTATTTGGAGGAAGCGAGATTATCGTATACGTAGGACGGGTCCTGGGAAGCGGCGTTTCAGTGGACTTTGATCTGGATCCTTCGTCGATTGTACGTCGGTTGGCCAGGGGCGAGGTGGTACAAGCGAGTGACAATAATCGGGAAGCGAACGTCGAGTGCGTGAAGCTTGACGATGTCGGTCGGCACGGCTGATACTGGATTCGAGGCTTCTCCTTGTTGTAGTGACGAAGCGAGTGTGTGGGGAGATGGAGGAGAGAAGGGAAGAGGGCGGAAGAGGAGAAGGAGACTGAAGCCGGGTTGGCTGTGGTTTGTTTAATTGTGTTGGATATTTGGCGAAAGTGAAGGTGACGAACAGGAAAAGGAAGTGGAAGGGAGGAAAGGTGGTGAGAAGGAGACAAGATGAGGGAAACGGATGATTGATGACGGGACTGAATTTGGATGGCAGAGCCGATGGAACATGGGCAATTGGGAGAAATCGACAGGGCGAAAAAGCAAGAAATGCGCGGTAAGACACCCGACCAAGGACGGGCGATGGATCGATGGGATGGTACGACCCAGGGGCGGTACCTTCGTTGCCACCACTTTCAAGGTGTGTGCACAAGTACATTTCCCGGCCTGTCCTGACCTGCCGATGCAGAAGCGCCAGCCCCAGCAAACGGCTAAACAGCGCCTGCATCCCTCCCCCATCCTCCATTCATCCATCGTCCACGGCACCACCATTTCTGCATCTCAGCATTCACTATGTATGTAGCACAGCACGACACTCCCGACAACGAACACAAACTTGGCACTAGCCACAGTGACAACACACACTGTCGACGGGCCCAAGAGGGGAAACACTAACGATCACCGGGGCCTTGCTACGCTGAAAGCATGGGAAGCGCTGCGGGAACGACGGGCTCCTCATCAACTCGACGGACCAGTGGCCACCGGCTGGGTCAGAAACTGGGTCCGGGGTTCCAGCTTGACCAGCATTTCCACTCTAGCGAGCTGCGAAAAGCAGTCCGGTCCCTGATCGAGGGCGGGACAAGGATTGCTGCATCTTCAGGTTTAGGTTATGGCTCCCCCTCCTCTACTGGGTTCCGTATTCTGTACGGAGTACCGTGTTCATGGGAGCCCGAATGGTGGAATCTGCATTGGGAATTGTCCCGCCGTAGCTCGGAAGGCTCGGTCACAACTGTAGTCTTTTTCTTCTCTTCAACTTGTTGTCAGCGGTCCTCGGACACTATCTTGCAATGGTCGCAATTCTCGCTCTCACGTATCCGTACATCGTTTTGCTGACACTTATGCAGCCTGCTGCACGCAACACGGGAGTCCGTGATGCTCGTCAACTCACTGGCCTTGCCGCGTATGTCTCTGACTGATTGGCCCCATTGGCCCCCAATATCGATGATGGAAGAGCACAAACCGGGCGGTGCAGCGCCAGCGAGCTAAAGAGTCGAGCTACCCGGGCCGGCCGAGCGAGCTGGGCACATCTCTACGGCAGAGCCAGCCATCTGAGAAAAGGACGAGGCTTGGCTATCGAAGACACCATCACGGCAACTCTGCGGCACAGGGCGTTCTCATGGCTTGCTGTCCTGTCAACTGCGTTCCCTGCCACCAGACCCTTCTTTGTGGTTGCAAAGACGCGGACAATACCTTGCTCGACACAATCTAGGTGTCTAGGAAGGGAACAAAGGCCCCGGTCAACAAAGGTGTCGCGCGTGTATTGCACGAGGCGTCAATAACAAAAGCTGAAAAGGTGCGCCAACCTCCAGCTCCTACCTAGCTGCTCTCAGCGCCGTCAACCGTTATAGCGTTTAGCGCTCCGTTTTGGTTTCCCTCTCTCCGTCTCTTACTCGAGACAACAGACTCCAGAGTGACAAGACGGAAGGACGGAAAGAGTCAAGTGGTGCAGGGGGTGGCTGGGTTACGCGTGAGGAGGGGCGCGCTATGCCCATCTAGTCATTCGCTTTCCAATCTTTCTGCAGGAATTTTGTGGAGGAAAGCTCGTCAGGGACGAAGTGGACTGGTCGAGAACAAATGAATTGGGAACTCTGCAGAAAGCGGGAGCGGAAAGTCAGAGAGTGATTGATTGACTGGGCGAGGACTGAGAGAAGACTTCGAGAGAGGGTCTTCCTGGAACCCAAACAGTCGTTTCTCTGTCTCACCGGCCCTGCATCCAGCGATCAGCGCATGCTGCAAACACTTCTCAGTCAATCATTCAGTGACATTCTCGTCGCTGTGTTGCAGTTGTCTTCCGCTCTTCGTCTCCTTTCCCTTGCTGCCCCCTTGCAAATAAACAAATTCATCGCCCCTTGAAGCCCCTTCTCCACCCTCCAACTACCGCACACATTTATTCATACAGTGTTGTCCCTGGTGCCGTCCACGCCGTCCTCCCTGCCGGAACACTCAAAAGAACACTGAAACTGAGGCGCAAAAGGGGTGGGCTCTTGACCCTCTCTCGACAGAGAACGAAGGAGTATACACGTGGAGAAGGGGGCCGATGATGGAAGACGAAGCGAAGCGATCTCAACGCAAAACATGGGCAGTTAGTGCACATCATAGAGAGATCTGTTACCTCGAAGGATTTTCCCTTCCCTCCACTGTAGACTCGATGGTCGCGCTAGGTTTGGCTCGCTTTGAGGGGGCTTGAACCTGGGGAACACAAGCAACCGCGAACACTAAACAGAAAACTCATTTGTGTGTGAAACCAAAAACAGTGCCCATCGTCCGCTGCCAATTAATTTCGGTCAAAGCTTACTGAGGATGGCGGCCTTCTGATTTGGAGTGTTTGACGTCATGTAGGTTGTCCGTCTCATTTCTGCTTTTATGCTTATGCTTTTTGCTGTCCCTAGCCGGCAGGGAAGGGTGAACATAGGCTAGCCTGGACCAGTAAAGCAATTCAGATGTTTGAGACGATTGAGAATCTTGAGAGTCAGGTGAGAGGTAAGGTGAATTAGATTGAGAATGGGAGTGAGAGTGAGAATGAGCCTACCGTAATCAACTGCAACTCTGTGCATAGGGTGAGAGGGTACGTATTTTGCTGACTTCATCTCGTCAACTTGTGCCGCTGACATAAGTCGAGCTGTCAACAAGCGAGCATGCGAGAATAGGGAAATTGAACCCCGGACAAAGGGACGCCTATCCCCAAAAATAATTCGGCTCTCAGTCAGCTTACGACCACCGCTGCAACTCTTCAATCTCGCCAAAATCCAAACTTGATACTCAAACTCCAGACTATCGAATTCACAAGTCACACACACATACACACGCATCGGGACATCACGCACACCGTCAGGGTTGCCCGGGTATTCACTCAACTACAATCCTCCCCAACATTCCGTATCTTCTTTCCAGCCTCTCTCAAGAGAGTTCTCAAGTGCTTCCTAAGCCTCTTGGCCGCCTGCTTGCAGCCCGCGGGGGACAGCGGCAAGTGACTGTGCAACTTGCATGACGTCTCCATCTGTGCTTTGGGTCCTTGGGAGGCCTTGCCAAGCTGCGCCGTTGGGCTCGGCACGCTTGCCCGGATGCGTCCGAGAGAACGAGTGCCGAATAGGGCCAACAGCCAAGAGATGGGCCAGGCAGGGGAAGAACCGAAAAAAGCAAATACGAAGATTCCCTTGGCACTTTGCGTTCGCGGGTCCCGAAGAAGAGAATTAGGTACCAAGGCTTCGGAACTCTGTCTTCAATGTTCGTTGTTGGGGGCGATGTCAGATTTACATGTTCGGACGGAGTAGTAGGTATTATGAGGACTTGTTGCTCAACAGCAACTTTACGCTGCATCGAGTCGGGGCTGATGGCACTAATCAAAGCGCGCCATTCTCAGCCACCTTGGCTCCAATCTCTCAGAGTTCCTCATCAGCCTCATGAAACTTTAGCCCGAATCCACTGGCTTCTTCCCAAGCCACATCCCAACTTCATCGCCAAGCCATGACACCAAGTCAGTCATAGCCCTCTGCGTCTTCTGACATTGTGCGCACGGATTCTGGACCCCTTCATCTCCACGATGATGCGCGGGGTAGAGAATCGAGAGGCTCTTCCGATTAGGCACGGGAGAAGATGTTTATTGCAAAGTGTATCTAAGTCTATCTTTGAAGTGAAGAGTGGTGACAGAAGAGAAAATAGGCGACGTTAATCCAATGACGAGACTTTTCTGACAAAAACGAACTAGAACAGTCCCGTAACCAGACTAAGATCTCTTGAAGGACCATGCAGTAGGTACTTCAGCGCGGCTGCTGCTGCTGCTGCTGCTGCTGCGGCCGGGATGAGGCGTACGTCGCCGATGCCCCGGACCCCTGACGTCCGTCAGCCTGCCCCGCCGCCGATCCGTCCGCCGACACCGCGGCGATGTTGTGGTATGGCTCCTGATGGAACGGCTGCGTTAGCCACATGCCCATCGGACTGTCGTGAGCCCCCATGGTCGTTGTTGTTGACTGGCTCCTGCCGAGCGATCGGTCAACCGGGACGGTGCTGGACGAGGAGGAGCTCTGCCCGTTGGGTGCCCTGGTGCCGGAGCCTGGCCGGTAGTGGATTCAGTTAGCTATGGTCTCTTAGTTTTGAGGATCGGGGAGATTCTACTTTTAGACTTCGAGGAAGACTGCTTAGAGGTATGCTTGCCCATCTTGTCTTTCGTAAGGTACCTGAAAGATACCCTTGTTTGAGAATAGCTGAATATCTTGAACTAGGTATTGCTGATTCTTATTGGGTGTCTGAAGGTGAGAGTATGAGTATCGATGTGCAGTTATTGCTTGGGAAGATGATGATCCAAGTGATGTCTATGATGTCTCTCCATCTTCCGATCACCAACTCGTGAGATTCGAGCCCCTCTTTATACTCCTTTCTCGCCCGCATATCTCCTTCCCGTCGTCAGCTCAATCCACCGCTCACTTCTATCCACGACAACAAAATTCACCGACAAGATACTCAAGAAAAGTCACGTCTAGCCAAGGCCTCGATACGCCACCGGTGGCACATACTTTCTCGAGGAGGCTGCCCGACGAATCCAAGGAACCGCTTCAGTATCGCAACACCGCATGGCTTCTTGTGCGGCCCCATGAAAAGTGTCAAGTGTACGAGCACAAGTACGACTTGTGATGTTGCACTGCACTAGTGGTTTCCATGCTAGTTTTTCTCTTCCCCTCGCAGTACGGCAGGCTATTGCGTAAGGACTGCATATCAACATGTGACTGTTAGAAAAGCGAAGAACTCAGAGGTTGACTTGGAAGTTGAGTCTTCTCTTTAGGTGATGTTGATAGGGTATGTTTCGTCTAGAGAGCAAGATAGATCGTTTCCTCCTCGTGAGCTGAAGATCTCTTTCTCCGTGGGAAAGTGCTCCCAAAGCTTGGTAAAAGCTACCACCCGTCTACAAAAATGTCAACATCTTCGGAGCATCAAAGCCCTGCCCCTCACACCTGGCTCCCGTGGGACTCTTCCCACGTTGTAATGTCTCAGCATCACCTGCAAAGACAACCCGGCACGCACCCACCTGTCGGGGCCCTCCTCTTCGAGACACAGGATCCTCGCGCGCACGAAGCATTCGAGCTCGAACAGCTGTCCGAAGTACAGGTCTCGCTCCTCCTCCCGCTGAAGACGCACGCGCGGCATAGTGCAGCTGCGCATCGACGCCGTCGAACATTGAGAAGAAGGAAATATTGGTCTCGTTCTCCGTCCGAGACCTGCGCTCGGAGCTACATGTACCTTTGCGCACCCGGGGAGGGGCAAGGGGAATTGGGAAGCTCGGGCAGACCTGCATTTCGACCAACATCTTGGGACCAGTTGTTTGACTTTCGGAAGGATACGCGATTCGATGGAATAAGGGCTGTTGTAGACTCGTGGTGCCGTGTTGCTATGTCCGGAAGCCGGTGCCCGGGGTCGACCTAATCTGTCCCGCGGCTAGCTACATTTCTGTGTCCGACATGGATTGCATGGTTTGGGTCCGGGTACGAAGGGCGATTGCATCGATATGATGATCTATCAATTCTGCCCGGTCTATTACCTGTCGTGCCTCTACAGTTGTTACCTTCATAGGCTTGCGATTCCGCGGGATGCCATGAATAGTGTGCGCAGTGTTCACGTAAATCCAACGCTGTTCGTAGAACAGCCAAGGCTGTGAACAGCATACACACCAGGGAAACGCTGCGAGATACAAAGTCTACATATCTCGAAACAGTTACGCTTGGCAGAAGAATTCTATTGCCTCCCCCTGACGATCATTCTGACGTGTCTGGAAGTTCAACCGTGGCCCCCATCGATACACCAGAATAGTGACACCTTGGCAGAGCGACGTGGGACGACAGCACTCGAGTCAATAAACTTCAGGCGCGAAAGGCATCGAACTTCCAGCTGAGCGACGTGCCAGGAACGCGAGCGTCATCTCGGCCGGAAGATCGTGATTCACCACGAAGCGGCACGGAAAGTTTCGGTATCCCACCTCCCATGTCGTGACACCTTCAATCTTCCATCTGTCGAGACAGTAGACACTCCGTCTGTCCAATCGGGGAGACCGAAGATGGTCTGAGCAGTAGGAGAAACATGATTAGCCTTATTGGAAAAACAAAAACAAACGGCTCAACAGAGACCATCGTCGATTGCCCATTCTCTATCCCTTTCTCTGCCCGAAGCCCCAGACCTTGCCCTGAGACATGAGGTCCTTCAGCGTCGTACACAACATACAGGTGCGACCAAGCTTCAAGCCAAGCATCATCCGTCGGACCGTCAGACCACTGCCCACCAAGCCACAACTACACAACGCGGCAAAGAGAAGCAAGGAGGGGATCAAGCCTCTTTTTCGCAAGATAATGCCAAGGGCAACCGAAGGAGTTCTCGTGTACCCGTTCTGCTAAGCTCTCCACGGAAGAAGTTCTGGAAGGAAACCGTTCAGCCCCTCAGGGGTCGGTGCCACGTGCTCGTACAACTGCGGCCACATGGTTTTGAAGACACGAAGAATCCGTGGCAGTCGAAATGTGGCGCTCGTCGGCCTGAGAGAATGGTAAGTGAGGCATCCCGAAGACGGCACAGGCTAACAGCCACAACAGTCGATTCAGAGACATTCGGGAAGCGAGCTGGAGAGTAAGCCTTCTACGTTTGCTTGTGTCTCGCTAGAGAAGCTTTTACCGGAATCTTCGATCCATTGGAACTTTTGGTCTGGGGGAGAAAGGGATTATCGTGACGGAGATGGTTCAGCTCCTGCGATGAACCGAAGTTTGGGCTTGATGAAATGCAACTTCTAGCGAAAATCGAACGGTCTATGTAAGGAAGATCGGGTTCAAGATTTTGTCAATGATTGCCGACTGCCTCGACACGGACTGCCGACTTTATTTTGACGATTGCTTCTTCTAGTCTGGCTAGTATGGTCCGGGGCTCCAGAAGAGTAATGAGCTGTCAAAAGTACCTACCATTTACAACTTGCAGTCATGCACCGGTATCTGATCCCCTTACGGACTCTGAGAGACTTGTACACCCAAAGTTGTAATCTCACGACAACGACATGTGAAAGGATATAGACACGAAACTTGTGGATGTTCCTAGCAATCTGAGCCTATGAAGGCCACGACTATGAAAAACGTCACTTGCTGTCTGCAATATTATCCCAGGTGTCTTTACGGAGAACTCAAAGAGTTTCAAACTATCACAGGAACAAATGGCCTGATGGTGCCCCCAAGGGGTAACTGTTTTATGGTTAGATACGATTCGCAGTACCTTTGAATCCACCAACAGACCCTCATGGAGCTTACAGCAAGCGCAAGTTGGCATATTCTGCATCAAATCACCAAGGCCCAGGAACAGTTACTGTTGATATCCTGGAGCATTCGAATGACTCTGTTTTGAAACGAGAATGCTTGTCACGAGAATAATCAATCCTCCTCAATATTCTCAATCGGTCCAACAACGGAGGAAGCATGGTGCAATGAGCCAACGTTGGGAGCAGCCAAGAAGCCATGACATTTGGCTCCATAGAGTCAAGGTGAATGTATACTTTCGACTTCACGTTAGGCTCCTTTGTGAGTAGGTACCTAGGATCGACAAAATGTACTGGATATGAACCTGTAGTATCACGTCTTGAAGACAGATAGACTTGGATGTTCTTCAGGCGCTCAATCAAGACATTTACTGGAACCTGACCCTCAAATCATCTTTAGACTAGGCCTGGATATGCGTAATCAGGAGAGGCATTGGCGATGCTTAGATGCCTTTCGTATGTGGCGCTGTGATAGCTGCCGGTCTTACAGCATGACTTCAGGCGTATCATTGTTCGGAACATCACAACACCATGAGGATCGGCGACTAATAGCGTGGCATATATACGCAACGTAGTATTTTCCACTGATACCACCCTTGCGCCATCATCGAATAATACCGGCCCGAGGCCCTTTGTGGTCAGTCGAACGGCGAACTAGAATTGCGCTTGAGCCGCGAACTTTCGACTGGTATTGTTTATTTGCGCAGCCGGCCGCTACAATGACAGACGATTGGCCGGTTCCTTGGCATCAGGAACGGTCGACGGATGCTTGGGTGCCGTCTTTGTTCGAACAGGCGTCGGCAGTAGAACGCATGGTGGCGCAGGTTAGTTTCCCTTCCTGTCAAACCTTGAGAGAGATGGGTCCTGGACCAAAACAGGACACCATTTCGTCATCTTTGGGCAAAATTGAAGGTACTTGGGGCCTCAATTGAAGTCACCAAGCGTTGAAGGAGGTTTGGTCACATGAAGCCATCTTGAAGTCTTCGCAAAATCATACAGGGCTCCTTGCTGTGGTCTAGACTGGGATCCGAGCTCACAGCGACGATCGTATTCGTTATCCAGATGCATGGGCTCTTGAAATGCCGATTCCAAGGTGAGGAATGGTTTACCGGACCAAAGAAATAAGACATGACACTCGAGACTAGTGACACTGAGTGACTTGGCACGATTGAATTTGATGACTTCTATGAAATCATTTTTTGTATCGACCGGGGGAGACAGCCGCATGCCCGGGATCTGCCCAAGCCTGTGCATCTTACAAGGGCCCCTGAATGCTCTGGGGTCCCAAGTCTCTGGATTTGGGATGGACTTGAATCTGGTTGCATCGGCTTGCTCCAGCGCTCTGGGCCCGATTTCTACGAGATGAGTATTCTGAATCATGACTGTGCGGCATGAGTTGATGATAAGAGACTTGATCCATGTGCAAGGAATACACTCATCTATGCGTAAGTTTGGAGTTCTTGACTTACATCTGCTTTCTCTATACGTGCAACCACGTGGTTCCGTCATCCACACACGAGCGCGAAAGGGCTTGAGGGCCTCTAAGCCAGCCGGGACTGCATAGGAGGATAGCGATTCCATTTCATATTTGTTCATTCGTCTGCGTAAATGCCGTGTCTCAAAGAGGCTGACGGTGCCAACCGGTCGTTGAGAAAAGTTGGAGCTTTAAGGAAAGATCAACAGACGTCTATTGCCGTCAATCCCAACGCTAATGCACATTCAGAAGGTCGAGGACGTAGCCATCCCAATGAAGTAAGCAAGTATGCATGCCGTTTGGATGAGGGGATCTCGTGGGGCTTCGAGCAGGCTGTTTGACTCGGACTTCTCAGACTAAGTCATTGTTGAGTACTAAGATTCCAAAACTTGACGCATGCAAGGCACCTCATCTCGCTTTTCCTGGGTGAGATTGAGTCGTGAAGATCGCAAAATCCAAGACAAAACGGTACTCCTCTGATTGGGCCATCTCTCATCTAGCGCGGGCTAGTCGCAACGTCTAGCGAACTCGGTCTGGTCCGGGGGCACTGGAGCACAGACGGTATCGAAAGATCGACAAGATGAAGAAGAGAAGCAAAGAAGACGGGGAGGAACAGAGGCAGCCCGAGTTGAGGCGAATACCCTTCTTTTCATGGGTTGCGGGCTTGCCAAAGTGCCAAACAAGGTATTCGCCATAGCTGAGGGACGCCACAATGCGAGGGGGACAGCACGGAACAATAGGATTCGCTGCCTCGGAGGGACTGAGCATCTGTATCACATTGATATTATCGCCAAGCACGCTATCCCACGGCTGGATCTAGCGATCTTAGATGGGCGATCCCCATACTTCTCAGGTGCCAATGCTGTCGTTTGTGAAGCGTGGACGAGGTCTTACTGCGGCAAAAACTTTGTCTTGCAACCCATATCCACGAAAATGCTGTTGTCTTGAAAAGTGCGGCTGTCCCCTGCCCAAGTCCGTATCTGAACTTCAAGAAGATCACGACAACCCCCCTCTTCCTTGCCTTCTTCATGCAACGTACAGACACTACGACATACCACCTTAACAATGGATCCAGCAGCATTAGCCGGCCTCACGATCTACAACTTCCCGCCTATGCCGCCAAAATGGGATAGAATTGGCATATTCTACATCACGTTCTGCGCAACATGGACAGCAATCGTCTTTGCGGGTATGGCCTTCCTCTGGGCCAACCGGAGAAACCCCATCTTGAGACTCCGCGGCCTACCTCTTGCCTTTGGTTCCATTATCTTCCTGCACTTGTATTGGTGTATGGCTCAGATTACATACCCCATCGGCGGAACGATGCCTGTGGTCATTGCGTACGACGCTCAATACTTTGTGATGGGCATCTGGTTCCCGCTCGGTATCGCGTGCTTCCACGCCTCTAACAGCAGGTTTCTGCACGTCGCGAAGTTGCAGAGGCTTCACTTCACTGGCACCGGCGGTGGTAGTATCCGAAGAGGATGCAATGGTTCGAAGACGTCGTGGCTATGTCGCTTCAGGAATATGGACTATGGGAGGAGAATTCTGATTCTCATCGGCATTGGTGCGATATTCCAGGTATGTTGGATGATTGGACTCAAACAGCTCTATCTTGAAGGATACTGACACTCACAAGTGCCTACTCACAACCGGCATGTGGGTTGCCTGCAAGAAGTACCACCCTACCTTCGGCATCCCCGGCACAGAGATCCGCGGAGACAATATAGTAGAGCAATTGATTGACCTGGGCCGCGGATGGGAGTGGTGGCCAACCCTCCTTTGGCAGTTCATTTGGACTTGGATTGTATGACTTTCTCCTTCCTTGCTTTGATCCATAGTCCTCAGCTCCGTGTGATACACTGATAGCTGACTGCCTAAAGGTTGCGCCGACACTCATCTGGCGGGCATGGAGTATTCGAGATACAATGGGATGGCGAACTCAGACCATCGGTTGCTGCCTTTCAGGGTGCGTTACAATTCCTAGCCGTCTTCGCGTTCGAACTTTACTGACAGCATTGACTTCCAAGTCTTCATGCGACACCGATGTTTCTCATTGCATCATATGTACCAGCCTTTAACACCATCAACATGTACTTCCCTCCAAGCCAATGGTTGGTAACACTACTACTCCAAAGCCTTGTAGTTGCTGATGCAAGGACCTAGGATTCATCTCTCAACCATGATGTTTGAGATTTTCACGATTTTTGTCCCACTCTTCCAAATCATTCGACTCCGCATCCTCCTCAGGAACGTCACGGAAGCCAACGCAAAATGGGAGACTGAATCACAGACAACACTCAGGGCGTCGACTGTAACGTCGTTCCATGGCAAGAAACATCCAGTCTCTTCCAGCCAAGCTGAAAAGGGGCAGCCGATTGTCTGCCAAACGGATTCCGCCGACATTGGTACAGATATTGATAGTCGTCTATTGACAATGACCGCACTCGATCACGCTTTAAGGGAGAATCAGGGCGCGTTGCAGGAGTTTTCTGCCCTCAGCGACTTCTCCGGCGAGAACATTGCCTTTCTCGCTCGCGTCTCCGAATGGAAGTCGAGATCCTGGCCGAATGCCATTTCGGATTCGGAATCTCGCGAGTCTCTCGCTCAAGAAGAGAAACTTGATGCATACAATCTCGCCCTCCAGATTTACGCCGACTTCATCTCTCTGGAGCATGCTGATTTCCCTCTGAACCTTCCATCACAGGATATGAAGCAGCTGTTCCGGGTATTTGACAAGCCTGCCCGCATCTTGTTTGGGGAAGACGCTTCTGTCAACACTGCTGTCCCCTTCGATGACGCTTACCTTAGATCACGCACAGGGTCAAGCTCGGGAAGCAGCGGTGATATCCGGCATCAAGCTCGCTACACCGGTGATATCCCCGCGGGATTCAGCTCTACGGTGTTTGATAGCGCACAACACCACATCAAGTATCTTGTGTTGACAAACACCTGGCCTAAGTTTGTCCGGGAGATGCACTCCAGGCGACGGTCCAGCGAGACCAGCCGGAGTGTTATGACAGCCGAGACAACAAAATCCGAGTCTTCTCTTCTGACCAAAGTCTCGAGTAGTGTCTCGAGCCTTCTGAGATCTGTCAAGGCTATTTAGGATTGGGCTTGCCCGAATCTTCTTGGCTGTGAAGGCGACGTAACATGACGCCTTCTCGAGGCCATCTTCTTTTCACACTACGTCACAGACGGTAGCCAAACACTTTTCTTTCGCTTCAATATTTAACTCAATACCCGGTTGAAGAGATTCAACCAACATACTATAGTACTAGTACCATTCTTCATGTCTCTCACCCAGTCCATAGTTGGCAGTCAGCTACCAATTCACTACTGTGTCATCTCAATTTTGGCCTTAACTTTGTCTACCATTATGTGGAGAATTGTCTGTTGGTAACTTGAGTTTAAGCTTGCAAGACGGCTGAAGCTGTTTGAATTTACTGAGAGCAAGCTAGACCTTTGACCCTCGTGCTTAGGGTCAGCGAGGGTCCAAGTACTCTAAAGATCTCCAAGCAATCATAATCGCAGGATTGAACTCGACGCCATCATTTTGAAGTACTTTGTCATCAAAGACATTGGATTCCTAAGACTAGGTTGAAAGAAGAAAGACCAAACATCTTTAGACACGCTTGCAATCAGTAATCTACACCCGCTCTCCCTCGAGACTGTCATGTTGAATGTTACACCACCACTCTCGCCTTCATTCCTCTCACGTGTACCTAGGTAAATTCCCTTACGCCTCGCCCCAAATCTCGTCAGCAATCTTCCTAATCAAAGAAAGCTTGCTCTTCTCGTCCTCCAAACTTAACGGGTATCCGCTCTCATGCGTGCTGAAACCGCACTGGGGAGACACGCAGATACGTTTGAGCGCCTCCTCCTTGGTCTCACCGCTTCCCTTGGCGACGTACTCCGCAGCCTTGAGAACGCGGGCCTTCATCTCCTCCTTATCCTCGAGCTTGGGGATCTTGGTGCTAATGATACCCACAACGACGTTCTTGTTCTTAGGGAGGAATTGAAGGGGCTCGAAACCGCCGGCGCGCTCGGTGTCGTACTCGAGATAGAATGTGTTGACGTTGAGGTTCTGGAAGAGCTTCTTGGCGATGATGTCGTAAGAACCCTCGGCGAAGTGGCGGCCCCCGATGAAGTTGCCGCGGCACAGGTGGATACCGGTGTGCATGTCTTCGGGAAGCTTGCTGACTGTGTCGTTGTACAGAGCAATGTAGGCGTCAAGGAGGTCTTCGACGGTGCCTTCATTGTCCTTGTCCTCCTCCCAGCCCTTGCGGAACTGTTGCGAACAGAAGTCTGCGAGAGATTAGCAATTGTAGTGTTGCCGGACTCAGCTTACTCACAAGCCATGCCGGGGTCGTCGAATTGAACGTTGCGCAAGCCAGCGTCGTAAAGCTGCTGGAGTTCGGCCTGGTAAACCTTGGCAACATCCTTGAAGTACTCAGCATCGTTGGCGTACGCCTCCTTGGTGTATGCTCTGCCCTGCTTGTAGCGCATGTGGAACCAAGCTGGCGTGATCATGGTCAACTTGATGTCCTTCCACTCTTCTTTCGGCAGGGCAGCCTGCACCAAACGCAGCTCATGCAAGTTGGACTTGGACTTTGAGGGCGAGTGAGACAGCTTTCCGCCGGCGATGACAGAGTCGCCGGGCATGACCTTGCGGTCCTTCTCGATAAGGCTCACCACGTCGGGGTGGTACAGCCGGAACATGCTGGCCTCGGCATCCTGCAAGCGGGTAGAGCCTTCGAACTCATCCCACATGAGGCCCCAGAAACGGGTGCGGTTGAATTCGCCCGAGGTGACGCCCTTGATGCCCAGATCGCGCTGCAGCTGGACGACCTCGGCGACAGACTCCTTCTCGACGGCGGGAAGACCGGCTTCCTCCTCTGACAGACCCTGATCACGGATCTTGCCTTCGCGAATATCGAGGAGCTTCTGAGGGCGAAGGAGAGAGCCCATGTGCTCTGCCCTGAAAGGGGGCGCTTTGTGGAGCTTGGTGGACATTGTGGAAGGACTACTGGTATCAATGGAATGCCGGGAAGTAAGATGTATGTCTCTGTACTCTACAAAACACCCCTCACGTCAAGAATTTTAAAGGTCGCGATATCTCGGTGGGTGGCTGATCTACCTAGTGTCGAAGGCGGGGCAACCGGATTTATAGCAAACGGATTTACATGGCGGGGCAAAGTGAGGGGTCAATTCATTCAGACATGTATTGCTTGCCGATTGATGGCCAAGGTTGAGCTGAAAGCTAGTCGCCAGGGGTCAGAGTAGCTCACGTCAGCCAGTGTGAAAACCCAAATAGATGAGAAACCAGAGTTGGTAGCATTGGCCGAAAGGTTGTCTCCTTCGAAGCCGCCCTGCGCGGCCGACTCTTCGTCGGAGCTCTGAAGAATTAACTAGCTTCTGGGGTGCATTTGTCCCCTCTTCTTATTGTCCGAGAAGCAGCTTTACCCCTCATTCTCCACTTCAGTACTTCGGCAGTCGCATGGCCAACGTTGATGTAAAGTCCCATTAAGAAGACGGGAAAACCTCGTGTGTCAACCCCAAAATAGTTACTACACTCCTAACACTTCGACGTCCTGGCTTCAATTTGTGAGCAGATGAGAGAACACTGAAAAAAGAAATGAGTTGACTGAAGCACATGATAGAAGAAATGGCAAAGCTCTGACGGTAATTACAAGACAAGTATGGTCACAGCGTTACCGGGGTAGACGATAACGTTGGGGCGTTGTCGGTCGACCTTCATTTGATCGCGAAGATGTGTGTTTGTCAGAGTGGAGACTCTCTGTACAATACAGAAGACCGAGCCCTTTGCACCAGCCTTTCGCGAGCAATGTTCTTAATTACGAGCAGGCACGGGATCAAAGCCAAAGGCACTGTTCAGAGTATGAAAGCAGCTGTCGAATTGGAGGTCCAAGCTGACCAGCGAAGCTAGGGCACGCAGTGGCCGGCAACAGTCCCTATATCAACTTGCAACAGCCCAGTCAACCTACCGTTGAAAACGGCCCTTTTCACTTTGTGCAAAATAAAGATATAGACCAATACATTTCATCACCCAAAGAACTAGGCGATCCGAACCAACAACTCTGTGATAGAGATACCAATAGCAGCTGCCATGGCTCAACGAGGTGCTTTGGCGCTTCTGAGCGATGATTCCTGACGCTTCGCTCCATAGCAACGGAGTCGAACTGTAGGTGACATTTATTTCTTCCTTGATAGACATGAACTCTTAATCTCCGCTTGAGTGTGATTTAGTCACTAACTCGTCCCCAAACACACAGGGGAACACGCGATCTTAAAGAAGAAATTTGAGGAACTTGAATCAGTCCAGAACAAAATATTGGAAGAACAGCGGAAGTTGATGCCGAGTTAAATATTATATAAAATAGGAAAAGCTAATTAATTGATTTCGCAGGAGAAATGAAGCTGCTTGGCCAGCATCAAAGTAGTCAAATATCGTCACCATCTCATGCAGTGTTCATGATGCTCCAGCAAGCACCGCAAGAGACGTCGCGACTTAGTCGACAGGTTCTTCAAGGCATGCGTGGAGTTTCTTCGCAGCGAATAGAGATGGCTTTAGACATCATCGGATCAGTTGCCAGGGTGGAGGGAATCAACGGAAGCGATATCGTCAAGAAAGTGACACAAATCGAAACATTTCGCATGTGATGCAGTCAAATCAGTCACAAATCCTATTTGTCCGAATTCATGAGCCGGGAAGACTGACGACACCCCTTTCAAGCGTTTGATTGTCATTAGTTGCCAGTCTCCAAGATATGTAGCCAGCCGTCACTCTTCACTACTTTTGTGGTATCCTCCGCGAGGATAGCGCGCAAGGTCGATTCCATCTTTTGCGCAGTTTGATCGTTCAGTTGCTTGAGAAATTACCAGCTGAGCGAACGTTGGCCATGGGTGTCGATTATGCGCTATTATCTGAGTGGGATTTTAACGCCTTGCGGCAGCTATTCGAGATAACTTTGTTGTCTATTCCAGGAGCGGTGGTCTTCTGCGCCATCGATGGATGTTCACGTTATCCGAACGAGGATGAACTGCAGGTCACACTGGAATACTTACTCCGGGCCTGCCAAGCACAGTCTCCCTTCGCCCTCTACACATATCCCAGCAGATACCAGAAGGCATGACGGCGGTCTTTCTTCCTGCCACCGCAAGGCAGGAAAGGCCTGGTTTGACCTATGTCTGGCAGCCGAATACGCTTTCCCGAAGGCAATTTGATGGACAACGGCCAGGAAGTCCTCAGCCTGTACTCTTCCGCAACCCCAAGGACGACTGAGGGGATAGAGAATAATAAGGTGTTGAACATGCTCTTTGAGTTGAGGCTGAAGATCACGAGCTATTAAAGCTTGCCATAATCCATCTCATTTCTTATTACCTTGAGCGCTCATTTAGATTGAAATAACCGAAATTGTTCTCCTTGAACCTTATGTGAAACACTGCACATATTCAGAGTCGAATACAACAGGTACAGCCCAGTTGATTCAGTTAGCTCACCTTCTACTCAAGTCATCATTCAAACTTCCCCTCTCAAGCCCTACGCAAGCGTGTGTAATGTGCGTAGTAGCTGGCACTGGACTCTTGCACATTATCCAGCAGTGGCAAATCCTGTTTATGGATGTCGTGAAACGACTGATACTATTGACTACAGAATGCGGCATCATTCGCTAAAGTAGGAATAAGAAGGAGTGGTGGAGGTCTATTCAGTACTTTCCGAGAACATCTCCTAAAATAAACATTTGACCCTTAAAGGCTTCTTTCAATGTAGGTATACGGGATGGTCTGGTATAATCTTTCTAGATGAGGAATACTGTTTTTCTGTCGGAATTGTCCACGAAGATTCTGTCCTTGCCTCTGAATGATGCGATTCCGATGCGTCGAAAGCTCCCATGCTCAGTCGACTTTACTTTAGCTGGGTCATTCTCACGAGAAAGAATCAGAAACGTATCCATGAAAATCGTGCCACCTTTGGCCTCCTCAATCATCCTCGTCCTGAGAAGTAAGCAAGGGTATGGGAGTCCGGAATCTACCGGATGACCGGGATCGTCGAATCGTCCTGAGCAGGTCCAAGGTATTGGGCCTTTGGAGAAATCGGTCTCTTCATCGTTGAGCAGCATGTACGGTGGATTGTATAGCATGGCTTCTGGCGGTATGCGGACTGAAATACTCTTGACAACTCCACGTATGATGAGATGACAAGACTCAATCTGGGACGTCATCGGGATTCCCTTCCACTCGATGCCAAAGGCGACCAAGTCCACGCCATTTGAGACCTTGAAGCGGCGTTGAAGTTTGAAGCCCCAATCATCTACCATGATTGGGGCGTTACAAGAAAACCAGGTCCAAGAGGGTGCTCCAGGAATACCGGGGCCCTTCTTTTGGCCATTTCTGATCCAAGCCAAGTCTCGAGCAAGATTGTCAGGGCAAATTCCGAGAATCGGTTTCTTTGAAGTTAAGTTTGTGTAGTGTTTGGTAATCCCGGCGAAAGCTTGCAGCCGGTCGGAGGCGATAGTAAAGTCTCGCTTGGAGTAATCTTCGATCCATTCAGGCCACCATTGGGAAACTTGCGTGATGGGGTATGTCGAATCACTTGCTGTAGAATGGTGGACCTGGTAGGTCTGAGTAGCTTGAGTTTCGTACAAGTATTGACACTGCCAGTGAACGCCCGACTTCAGACAGTGAAGAATCCTTGGAGACAAGATTCGCTCTTGAAGCGCCCATCCTCGTGTGCTGAGCTGTGCTTGTCGTGGAATTTCGCGGGGGTCAAGGCATTGAAAACGGATCATTCTAGTGCAAGACGTTTGGGAGTAGCCGTCCTCTCCCTTGTAGGTGAACATCCGGACTGTAGGATCTGCCTTAGCTCTTGCCGCACTCTCAGGATCATTAGTGTCTCCTGGACTCGAGTCTTTTCCATCTATAACTGCTTCCATGCTATTATCGTCTCCTGGGAAACAGCCTCCTTCGCTATCCCAAGCGTCGCTTGCTGCTATAGTGATATGGCTTCCAGCATAGAAATCCCCCATGCGAGATGCCTCCAATTCCCACTCTGCCTGGTCATCTTGTACTATACACAAGGAGTCGATCCAAAGATAGCTGATACCTAATGAGCGGACTAATCTTATAGCGTGTCGGAAAGTTTTAGGAAGAAGGTTCTCAGGTATAGAAACGGCAAAGTCTTCTTCCGTAGCTTTTGTAGTTCTTAATGGAGTCGATGTTCCCCAGCAATAGCTCAATGTTGCATATCGCACAACGGCGGAGAGTTGCTGGAAAACTTCACTCGTGGTAGACACCAGGCGTAAAGGCTGATCCGGTCTCGTATCGATGAAACGTTTTGGTAATTCTCCCTTGCGTGGTTGACAGTAGCTACCGTGCGTGCTCTCACAAGTATTCAACCAAGTCCTTGCGCATAGTATCCTGTCTTCTGCCAAAGTCCGGAGTGAATATGTCCGACCTGACATCCAGAAAGAAGGATGCTGGTATGCTACGGGAAGTGGTCAGTACATGAGTGTGAAGCTTTCTGCAGTATTGGTTTAGGAATAAGAATTGGGTTGAGACATACCCTCATCTGGATCCTGTGGCGAAATGCCTATTGATGCCTCTGAAAGATACACAAAACTGTCTCGTGTGATTTCCAATGAAACTTCAAGGCTTGCCCAGAGAATCCTACCAGTATTGTTTACCTCCAGTACTTTCAGAGCAACGGGATGTGAGCTTTCTGTTGTTACGTGCTTGAAACGCTCTCTAGCCTGGTTCAGACTGTGTTCAATCAGCAACTCCCAAAGAGCCGCGCACAACGGGCAATCTTTCTTGGAAACGAAGAGTTCTTTGGTTTCCTGCTCCCATACGATCCATGGTGTTTGGAACTTGACAAGAGACTTTAAGCGGGCGGTATACTCAATAAAATGCCGGCAAATCTTGCAAGGGTCCATGTCGGCCCCGATGTGTTGGGGTATTGACTCAGTCAATCACTCTCCGTGCTGTTCTCGAGCCCATTAAAAAAATTGAAACGAGGCATGTTGGTATCAGAAAGATCCCGATGGTCGTGCTGACCAGAAGAAGCCCAATTTGATCGAACTCGCATCTTGGCTACAAGTGACCCGTTTTCAGGCAGCAGCCGGCGCTTATGCGGGGTACATTTGTGATGCCGGCTGCTTTAGAACGTGTAGCTGAAATGCGACTTGCGGGCTGATTAGTTACTATTGGTCGATATTGATGTGAAGTATCAGCCCTAGATTGTCTAGCTGAAGGTGGCTTTTTCGATTTCAAGTTACCAAACCCCGACGTTTACACCAAAACATCGAAATCCATGAAAGCCCTGTTCTCAGGCAGAAATTTCAGCTTTGAGGTCCTCTGTGTTCATCCGCAAGCTGTCCTCCAGGGAAGTCCAACCAGGCTGTCCCATCCTCTTCAATAGTGCCTCAGCGCGGTCGACGGGCTTGATGATAACTGGGAAAGGTTCGCTGGCAAAGTTTTCGTGGATGTTCTTGCCCGGGTGCTGCTTGCGCAAGATTTTGAGAACATCATCCCAGCAGAACGACTCAGCGAAACCAAAGATGCGTTCGCTTTTGACATCAGGTAAAATAGCGGCAGCCACATGCAGAATAGCGTCGTCCTGTACATCGATGAAGTATTCTAGCACAAAGTTAGCTATAGGACTGTCCAACTTTCACTTTCAGCACTTACGGGGGTGGCTGAAGTGAGGAGGCATTCTCTGTCCCTCGAGGAAAGGCAGGATGAAACCTGAAGTAGACCTGTGTCCCTGGTTTACAACATCAAGACTCTTTCCCAGGTTCATGCTGGGCAGGACTAATATGACGGTTAATATCCGAGACCGAAAAGCATAGGAGCTCACAATGCAAGCTTTTCTTACCAGAATTGACAACGAGGTCAGGGCGTTTGGACTTGTTCTCTTCGTGGTATTTCCAAACGGCTTGCTCCTGCTCAACCTTACTGGCAACATAGACGAAAGCGCCATGCTCAGGACCCCACGGGCCCGGCGTCCAGGCCAGTTCTTTCGCGTCAGGGCTCCAAGTGTCTTCGGTCACAACCGCCCCCTTCATCTCCATGAAAGTTTCAGGATTCGCGGCTAATGTCGTTGACGATGATGAAGTTAGCACGAAGCGCTTTACGCTCGGCTCCTTGTATGAAGCCTTGAGGGCAACCAAGGCGCTCTCTTTCGCGGTCGGAATGACGTTGTTTGGGTCAGGGTCAAAGCTGACTATGGATGCCGTATGAATGAAAGCGGAGACACCTGGCAGGTATCAGCATAATAACACAGCACTCATCTACCTAACAGTAGGGGCATCAAATACTACCTTTCACGACTTCGTCATAAGCGTTTCCTGCAAGCATATCTGGAACTGAGACCAGTTCAAAGTGGCCCTTGCCATAAGTCTTTTCAAAGTAGGCGTTGAGCCAGCTGCTCTTCTCGATGTCCCGAACAGTACCGCGAACCTTGTAACCATTCTTGATGAATTGATCGGCTACATGTGATGCGATAAATCCATTGGCCCCAGTAACGAGGATCGTCGAACCGGTGGGTATCACAGGGCTTGTTGAAGTAGTCATGTTGTCGTTGTTCAATAGAAAGATCTTTGAGGTAATGCGACGAGACCTGGAACGATACGGCTGGTCTTAAATACATTTATAGAGTCCGAGAGGAGTAAATAGAGTTCTCGACCTCGTTCGAAGGTTGCTGCCCTTCAGGCTTCATCCCATCGGCCCCGTATGGGTGCCCAGAGTTCGGGCCCCGCTTACAAATGTTTGCGGAGCACGGTTTACTCAGTTACACTGTAAACCCCATGAAACTTGACTCATCCACCGAGTTCTTAAGCTACTGTAGCGGACTTTCGGAGTGTACATTATACATGATGTGAGACAGAAGACATGCAAACTCGCGAAGAGGTGCGTAAAGGCCACGCAGGCTTCCGGCCGGCGTATGCATGTGCCGCCTGGGGGCCGCATACACGGCCGAACGGTCGGAGCAGTGCAGATCATTGCTGCATTATTCAGCCGGCGATGACTCCTCCGCCGCAATGCGCGGACTTTCGGAGGTAGCGCTGACCGTCACAGTAAGCCTTAAACCCGGGCGTGTCCCAATGCCATTGTTTCCAGTAGCACTGGCGCCACTGTAAGCATCAACAATAAAGAAATTCTTTCAATTTTCATCCATGACTTTCTCCGACATAGTAGCTGCGATCATGAACAGCAATTGACAGCGCCGACCCATGACTTGACTACAGCTTCAGGCACAAACCTGGTTCAACGGGCACTTAACACCGAGTGCTCAGATGACAACACGCTCCAATAAAGGTACTAATAATTAAGATAAGTCTACTACGTAATTTAGTTTTCAAGTGCGAAGACCCCTCCGAACTTCAACTACTAGGTGGGACGCTTGCACTACGGAAAAACAACCCCCACGCAAATACCCCGCGTGCCTGTCGCTTCCCGAACCCCAAATTTGGCGTTCCATTTTCAGGTACTTTTATGAGCGCTTCGGCTCATGTAAGTGCAACTTTTCCAGTCACAAGTATCCTGCGTAAGATCATGGTTAGCATGCTATTCCCACGAGATGCTACTATAAGATGTCATGAACCTACTTTGTGAACTTCCGTACCCCACCAAGTAAGCTTCTTGGAAGCCCCGGTGTAGAATATGGCGAAGAAGATGACGATTCCAGCAATAGCAACTGAGCAGTCCAGCGCTGAGCTGAGAACAAAGTTGTAACGTCTCCACCAAGTCCTCTGCCTTCTCTTGATGAGCAAGCCAAAAACGAGACCGACAATCGCCCAGCTCCCGTAGTTCGTTCCGGACGCCGGGGGAATATAGTTGAGTCCACCGAGGAAGAGCGGAATATGGACTTTCTTCAACCACTTGGCCTCGGGGAAGACTCTCTTCCTCACCAGGTAGACGACCACGGGCAGGACGGCGCCGACGAGGAAGAACCACAGCAGCGAGCGGTACATTGCGCCATCGGCAAAGAATCTACGGGGCCCGAGAGCACCCCAAACCATGCTGGTATTGAAGTGTGTCCGAGAGAAGGGGCACGTGAAGCCGTTGGGGGCGTTTGTAGAGCAGATCCCTGGGATGTGGTTGAGAGCCCAGTTGAGAACGGAGACTTGACCCAGAGAGCCAATGACGAGGCCCACTGACTGAACGAGAAACAGTTTTCGGGGCGGAATCTACAACGATGCCTTGTCAGTACGTAAAGGGCGGCTTTGGAGGGGAAACGAGGCGAATGACTCACGTTACAGTAAATGCCCAACTTCAAGTCCTGGGCAAATGCTAGGCCTTTGATGCCAGAAATATAGCCAAGATTGAAGAACCAGATATTGGCCAGAACTTTGCCTTCCCATATGTATCCTGCAATGATACGGCAAAAAATATCAATTTGAATCTTCATATTTGTCGTCGCATAGACCCAAGCGAGCTAAGTTTGACGAATTAGCATTTCTTCATACCAGCAGCGGTTTTAGAAGGTACTTACGGGAACGAAGAAGATGGCAGACACTGCGAACGCGAGGACTACTCCGTACCAGCGAAGCTGGACCGGGTAGAACTCGCAAGCAAACATCCCGAACCCCAGAGCAAGCAGCGCAGCAACCCAGTACCACCAGAGCGGGACGGCCTTGTAGCCTGGCTGAGGGTTGTGTCTAGGGACGATCTTGCCCCCGAGGAGAGCAGAAACCTGGGTGGACCTGAACGCAGCTGCAATGTGTCGGCGTTTCTCGAGGAACAACCAGACAAAGAGTGATGCGATGGTGGCAAATGAGAGACCAAAGGTGTTGAGCGCATACGTGACGGGAAGGTAGATCTAAGTAAAAGAAGTAAGCATTCTCGTTTGAAGAGCTACTGAAAATAATATAGTATGGGGAGTTTGGGGTATTTGCGTACGTCTGAGTAATTGGCGTATTTGACAGGATCGAAAGTAAAGTCGTCCTTTTTGTTAATCACTCTGGAAACATTGAATGTCTTTCCCAAGTTATCGTAGATGGAATTGCTCTGGATGGGTAAGTAAGCTGAGTCCCAGGTGTTTGAGTAGTACAGCGCCGGGGAAATAATATAGATCCAGAACACCAGAGAGGCCAGGATGTTGAGAATGGCCCACGTGGGAACGACAAGCGGAGAACCAATATAGGCAATTTGACTCCCTATTTGATATTAGTATCAACGAGCTTTCCAGGACTTTGTTGGGCCTATGAGGGTTTACTTACAGTCGAACGTGAAAGGAAACAAACCGATGCCACTCTTCATGCCGAATACCTGGTTGACAACCGCATTGTTCGGAGCAATCCAGCAGACCCAGGTGAAGTAGCCCAGTGCTGGGAAGATGAAGTCTGGGAACCAGTACCAGCAAAACGAGGCAATAAAGGCGAGCATAAAGAACTTGTAGCGAGATGCCGTCCACTTTGCTCTAGTGTGCCGATATGTCAGAATGAATTGAACTAAGCATTGAATGATGTGAGGGCACTTACTCGGTCTCGTCCTCTCTCTTGCCAGTGTGCAGCGCAGCATTGAGGGCTGTGTTTCCAAGAACACCAGGCCACAGCAATCCTGGGGGCTCAACAACCAATGCATAGCATAGTCCGGCCAGAGCGAAGCCGTAGAGAATTGTTGACAGTGTAACAGTCAACTCGAATCCCCATCCTGCCTCAAGCCCGTAAAAGACTCTCTGTTCGGTCAAGACGTCGGCACTCAGCCGAGTCAAGAAGCTGAGGTTGGCCATGATATAGACTAGGATATTTTCCTACGAGATAACAGGTTGTTAGCGTCGGGTGTCACAGGGGCTATGACATTCAGGGATGATGCCAACCTTGTAGTTGAACGGGCCTGGGTTCAGGCTGATGCGATTACCCCTGATGTTGAAGCCCCAGTCGGGAACAACAAACTCCCATGCTTTTCCAACAGGGTATGCCAGAAATTGGATCGCTGACTGGGAGAGACTGATGGATGGGAATCGGAACGTATACAAAGTGTTGACACCGCTACCCAAAAGGCAAAATCCAATGCCAATCACCCACATGCGGAGCGTCAGGCATGGCAGGGAAGGATCATCGGGTCTCAAACCAACTCCAGCAGCATACAGAACATCTCGACTCGGGGCGGAGGATTCGTCTAATCTTGGTCAGGAAGGAAATTTCTGAATGGAATCGTATGTCGCACCTGAAGAACGCTTCGCTTCCTCAATGGACGTCGTCGGTGTCACAGCCTCTGGCGCGACGTCCGCGATGTCCGCCCCCTCGATGGCGGACTTTTGGTTCGCCTCGACGTTGGCCATATTCGATTGTCGAAGAAGATTGTACTCAGTTGGGACGAGATCATCAAGATTAGATCAGATTAGATGCGAAGAGGTTCCATCAGACTTTTATCCTTCCCGCTCAAAGCTTGGACCTCGGAGCCTCCGCGTCTAAGACGGGACTCGGCGGCGCCAGAGTGGGAGGGGTCCCACATGTCCCGTGCCGGACTCCGGCCGCTGGCGTAAGCTTGATGAATCCGTGACTGATACTATGGGATGTTTCGAGGGTAATTGTTCGTGTTTCCTACGGAAATGGTTCCGAATATGGGAGGCATATGGCCAACCATGTCTTAAGGTGCAACGAAGAGGCATCGGAATTTCGCTCCGTTGGCATCATCCTTGATCACGGCGACCGCGGGAGGCTCAACCCATGGCCTTGTAGGGCTAAACGAGGGCCATTTGGAGTAGCGCTAATCACGCATTTGACGCCGTCCGGCCCGAGAAAGTGGTGGAGGGGACGCCGAGACGGGGATGCGGCCTCAAGATCAGATAGTTTCTCCACTCTTTAGATCTTTCTGTCCATTCAGAGGCGATTGTATAGTCAAGAATTCTCTTAATCGCCGACGGCTGCTGGATATTTATTCCGTTCGAGGTCAAGTGCTGCTATCGTGAGGTCAGCCATCTTGACAAACCAACAGTGTCTGTGGCGCGAGGTTTTCGCATTGGAGGTATGGGTACTGAGAGCTTCTTCGACCCAAAAGGGAGATGTCGTATTTGATGACTCGCCGAATTTCCGAAGCATTGACAAACGAGATGAAGATCGATACATACGAAGCATCATTCAGAATCCGAACATACTTTATCTGTTAGGTAGTCACCACTAGCTTATTTTAGACTTATAAGACTCGTGTGACAGACTGCTCAAAAAAAATCGTTCGGTCTTTCTTCACAGATCACACCTACGACAACCTGTCGAGCTCGATACAAACAGTTGACGCTATGCTGGATGCAGCCTGACACCACTAGCCACCGAGGCTCAGCGCTTCGACGAGAAGTTTTCACTAATCGCAACGATCTAACAACATTTTTCAAGCCGGTCTATCGATGGTCCGTGGAAATGGGAAAATTGCTGACGCCGGCGGCCAAAATGAGGGATAAAAAGCTCCAGTTTCTCGCTCTACCCCCTTCTTCCCGAACGAAATCCGACCAACCCCACCCGCTCTGTACCGGTTTGACCCGTTAACCCACGGCCAAACTCCGTCGACCTTGAAGAGGCCGAATCATCGTTCACCATTGACACATTTAGCCGCTCGTGGGGCCTTTCCAACCGAGACTGCCTTTCCGCATTCCGCATGCATGCACGACCAAGCATTCCCTCTCGCGATTCTCCAATTCTTTCCCTGAATTCGGTAACTGCGAATCCTGCAGTCCTGCAGGTTGAAGACTCCATCTGTAGTGTAAGCTGAGCTATTGGATATGACTTGGACGAACTTTCTGCAACTGCAGTCGTGAAAAGTGAACCCATGGGCAAAGTGTGGATTTGCGTGCCTTCGTCTCTTCTTTTTGAGGAGCCTCGTAGATCCTTGGGTCTCCTGTCAATAATAAGCTCAAAGTGCCAAGGCGGCTCAGCACAGGCCTGGAGCTTGCTTATCATCTCCAACAGTTGGTTCGCAGACATGACATTATGCATTCAGTTCGCATCTCGAGGCGGCGAACTCTGCTTCCAACTTCCAAGTGCCAAATGACCTTGAAGACCGGCCAACTTCCGATTCCTTCTCTAAGACACTCCGTGCTGAGAAGGATGTGGATTTGGTCCTAGTGCATTCAGGAAAGTCTAGAGCTTTAAAGATCGCAGAGTTCACTGAGGCACCACTACTTGTCTCACCATTCGCCCGAGACACTGAAGAAGGTCTAGATCTGGCTGGAGCTGCTGCCCGTCTCCATCGCGGCCTAGCCTGGGTTGGGATCCTGCTGCTGCGAGGCTGCGAGCCTTGTAGGTCCCTGCGTATTGTAGTTCCGATCTAAGTTGTACTTTGGTAGCCCATCGGGACTTTGGTTGAAATTTTCGTACCCTGTGATAAGATTCTTGCAAGGCTGTACCATCGGCGTACATTCGCTCGCGGTTCTCCCTTAGGCGGCTTCTTACAGAATTTCAAAAGGAAACCAATGACTTTCGATGATATATGTAGACTCTGAAACTACAACTCAGCCCGCAGCCCCATAGTTGTGACTTACCCAGCATATATCGAACTCTGCCATGAGTTTGTCTACTCTCTACAGGAACCACAAATCTTACCACCTATAATCCGTTCGCATCATGTAGCAATTTTCGAAAAGCTGTTACCATTCTGAGGCTTTCAACACTAGAAAGACTGAAGATACGTGGATGTTGAACTATACGAGAAAGTTGCAATGTTCTATGCTTGAAGCAAAACTCGTTTCATCAAATGTTATCGAACAGATACTCAGAGTATTATGGTGGAAATCCTGACTTAAGTCTCTACTTCCGCGCAGCAAGGAGCACCAAGACCTCAACTTAAACATTTTGAATGCAATGTCATCTTTGCTTGTCTACTTGATCGTGCCAAAGACTTGTCTTTCAGACTGTAAATGATCCCAAAACCCGGATGATCGCTCTTCTTCGCTTCAGTGTTGGCCCGGAATTCGAATTATGTCGTGAAACTCAACTCATTGGTAACCTCATGACGAGAAACAGCGAGGACTCGGTGATTTCTTTGTGTTCAATGCCTGGCCAAGACACGCCTAGTAGAGCCGTATAAGTGGTGATCTGTGCTCGCAGCTCAGATCTCTGGGCATGTTTGAGAAAGTAGCCTGACAAGGGAACTACCGACGATTCTACTGGCAATGTTTGACTTCACGAAAACTTCGTTTTGTAGCTGGGGATTAGTTTTGTCCAAGTTGTAAAAAGCGACATAAGCCAAAGCTCAGAAATCATGGCTTTCTAGAATGTTGTTAATTCGACTTCTGGTGATTCAAGCCGCACAGAGTCAATGGGTGTCTTGTCTCCGAGGCATACCTTCGGAAACTCCGAAGAAAGCGGTATTGGCTGGGTCTTTGTTTCGACAATGTCAAATTTGTTGACATACGCTCAGAGAAACTTGTCGGCAAACGCAATGATGAGCTCAGCAGAAATGCAGCCTGCTGTGTTAGATTGCTGGCTGAAAAGTTTTTGGCTGAGAAAGGCCTGGACGTCTCTTGGCGGAGCTCGATTCGGGTTGACGCGCCTATTCGTTGTTGGACCTCGTCCTAGTTCATCCTGGACGTGGAAACTCTAAGCGAGAGGTTTTCGAGTTCATCGTAGGCTGAGGCCGTGAGTCCAGGAGAGTAATCGGATCATCCTTGGGTAACTCGGACACTGTCGTCTGCAACTCGTCTATTGCGGCTTCTCGAAAATTATTTTTGCCCATCGTCGTAACGGTCTGGCGTGTGAAACTGAAAGATGATTTCGATGGCTGTCAAGTTGGGGTGCTGTGCTGTCTTTGTTTCCTTGAGTCAGTGGGCTCGTGAGGACTTTCCCTCGGAGCACGTCGTGATAAAACCGACATTTGACGGCGATGCACATTACCTCCGATCCAGTCAGAATTGAAGTTACGAGACAACCGCCTGGGGCGCTTGTGGCAATACTAAATGATTTTTTCCTTCTGGATCGGATTCGGCCAAGACTGCCTGGAAACTCAGCTTCTCTTGATGAGTCTTTTTTTTTTCTTCTCGGGGACTGGCCATTCGGGGTATTTTCCCTTTCCAGTAACTTGCTCGGTTGGTTCGTACTTCTGACCTGTCGAAGGATGCTTCCATAAACCCACATCGCTCAGGTGTCAGTCGAGAACTGCCGCCGCTATCGATACCGGCCAGTGAGAATTTGGGCAATTGTCCTGGTCGGTCAGCGCGCCCCTGTTGGCGTTCAGGTTTTGCATTGACGGCTGAGAGACTCAATATCGCTTGACTTCCGCGACGAGGACCGATCGTGGAGCCTTTTTCTTGTCGCTCTGGCGCCGACAAGCATTTTTGACACATAGAAAATTGCATTTTATTGAAAGCGTAGTTCAAAATAACTCAGACCAACTGAACAGCCACACCGTGACACCAGAGAAATCAAACACATAACGCGCCACGTCAGCTGCGCTTAACCCACCATCACGCCCTTCTCTATGACTCGACGATTTGGGGGTTCACTCGAGATGGATAACGGCACAGTAATTAACGGCACATCATGCCGGCGTCCTGGCAATAAGTCGGACGCAGCAGCCGTTCCCGTTCCTCGCCGACCGTGGCCCGTGATCGGCGGAATCGCCCTGATGTGGCCCGAGGTACATGATAACCTTCCCTCCGGGAAAAAGCCAAGCCTACGGATCAAGACACCAACAGATCATCGCATGGTCCCATAGGGTGTCTTTTTGGAATCTAGTCCACTATGGGTGCTCATCACTACCTAGACAGATGGTAGACGGGTGACGGACAGGAGGCGAAAAAACAGAGTGAGACCGAGGACACCATCACCGCCTTGGCTCGCACTGCTCACTGCTCGATCCCACTTGCCGCGATGTGCGTCCTGGCACACCTTGTCTGCATGGATGGCGCCGAGTTTTTGGATTTCTCTTCACGGGAACAGCTGTTGATTGGCCACATTGAGGTGACAGACTACTTCTGCAAGGATCCTTGTGGTGTCACTCCAGCACTGACCGACGGGATATGACTATTCGATCGTTCATGGATAATAAGCCCGCTTGAAAGTGGGGGTTTGGCTTAGCTTGCGGATATGTGGGAGATGGTCCCTTGTTTGGTCTCGTTTTTGCACCCATGTTTTCAGCGATGCTCCCTGCATTGCCAAGTGTTGAGGGAAAAAAAAACCTTTCTACCACCAACGGCTGTGCCGCAAAATTGAAGAAAATCAAGATCGCTATTACCGGTAGTTGCAGAAGCTTAGCACTGTCCTGGTGAGCTTTTCGGGAGGCGTTCGACGGCTTCAACACTCACAGCATGAAGAGCTTCAAGGAGGGTGCGTACGATGACAAGCTCCTGAG